CTCCCGCCTCCCTCCCCATCCCATCCCTTTGGGTCATCCCAGTGCACCAGCCCTGAGCACCCTGCCTCATGCATTATTTGAACCTGAATGGGCGATCTATTTCACATATGGTAATATACATGTTTCAATGCTGTTCTCTCAAATCATCCCACCATTGCTTTCTCTCACAGAGTCCAAAAGTCTGTTCTTTACATCTGTGTCTTTTTTGCTGTCTTGCATATAGGGTCACCGTTACCATCTTTCTAAATTCCATATATATGTGTCAATATGTTGTACTGGTGTTTTTATTTCTGATTTGCTTCACTCTGTATAATAGGCTCCAGTTTCATCCACCTCATTAGAACTGATTCAAATGCATTCCTTATAATAGCTGAGTAATATTCCATTGTGTATATGTACCACAGCTTTCTTATCCATTCATCTGCTGATGGACATCTAGGTTGCTTCCATGTCTTGGCTATTGTAAACAGTGCTGTGATGAACATTGGGGCACATGTGTCTCTTTCAGTTCTGGTTTCCTCGGTGTATATGCCCAGCAGTGGGATTGCTAGGTCGTATGGCAGTTCTATTTCCAGTTTTTTAAGGAATCTCCATACTGTTCTACATAGTGGCTATACTAGTTTGCATTCCCACCAACAGTGTAAGAGGGTTCCCTTTTCTCTGCACCCGAGTCTCCAGCATTTATTGTTTGTATACTTTTGAATAGCAGCCATTCTGACTGGCATGAGATGGTACCTCATTGTGTAAAACCTAAATTTTGTTTTACCCTTATGCCTATAGAGTACAGGAATGATTATCAACCTTCTCTCGTACAGAATTACAATCGAATACTTAGTGTGATTCATGGACTATTTGTTGCGTGATCATTTCTTAAATCATCTGTTGCAAGAATCAAGTAAGACATATTCAATAAATGGAATATCTGTTATTGTTAGCCAGAAAATCAGACTGTTAAATGAGAATGTGTGTGGCAACCCTATTCTAAGTGTTTGACTTTATTGAACTAATTTAATCCTGTAGATACTATTATTGTCACCATTTTATAGACAAGAAGAGCCAGGAAGGTAACTGCTTAAAGTGAGGCCATGGGGATGCAAAATCTGCCTGCTCGAACTCTCAGGCCCCTCCCCAGACCCTCTGAGTGAGAATTGTTTTTAAAATAATTAGCTTTGACCCTAGACTTGTAGATGCAGTAGAATCTTCAGTGAAGTCAGAACTTCCACATTTCTAGAAAGCTCTACAGATGATTTTGATGGTAGTCAAGATTGAGAACTCCCAAAGTAGATCCCTGTTAACTGGTGTACCGTAAAATGAATGAAATATCACCAAAACTTTTAAGTCATTTGAGACCCATAGTCATCTACATATATGAGACTAATAAAATTATAAGGATAACTTATAAAAATAATCACTTTTTATTGATGTATTTTCATGCTATACCCTATTTTGGGGATAGGGACAAGGAAATTTTTTTCACAGGAAAATTTTAAATGGTCACACGGCATTGAAATTTGGAATCCCTATAGAATTCTCTACTTCCTGGAACTATTAAACTTTGAATATGTATGCATCTTTTGTGCCATCAGAATTGGATGTTATACTGCTTTGTAACTACCCCTTTTAGGAACTTAGCATATGAATGAATGAATACAAAAATAATGGCATTTAAGACATGTATTACTTTTTTTTTTTTTAAGTAAATTTAACTGAAACTAAAAATGGTAGAGTATCCTGATTCCCATCCAGTTTTCCATTAGTTACGTTCATCAGACACTTGGAATCATCACTCAACTTTTTTTAAACTTGGAGCTTCCCATTATATTTTTCACTGATGTAGATTGAAGAAAGTTGGCAGGCTTTGAAGTAAAACTTAAAAAAGGAATTCAGTTATTAATTGTTGTTAACCGCCTTGCTTTCTGCTAGCTCTGATCAATCATATTAATAGATGCCTCAGTATATTTGGATGTCTTTGTGAGGATGGGGAGGTGGGAGGGTGAGATACATAAAATCACTACAAAAAGTAACATGGAAATAAAAACAGGAAAACAAATCTTGGAAAGTGGAGCACAAGAACAGTTATGTTCAGGATCAGGAAAGTGCTTGAACTAAAGGAGGTAAGCCCAAAGAAGCAGGATACCAGAGCTGTTAATAAAACAGAAGCATACGAACACCTGAATAACGAGGTATGTACAAGTTTGGGCATTTCCATAGTGTAGCGATGGGCTTCTCAGGTGGATCAGTGGTTAAGAATCTGCCTGTCAACCCTGGAGATGAACGTTCCATCCCTCGGTCAGGAAGATACCCCAGAGAAAGGAATGGCAATCCACTCCAGTGTTCTTACCTTCGAGATCCCATAGACAGAGGGGCCTGCTGGGCTACAGCCCATGGACTCACGAAGAGTCTGACACGACTTAGCGACTAAACAACAACATAGTGTAGTGACAGGTTCCTGAACACTTTTCACATGTAATCTTCACAATAACCCTGGTGGGTGGATGATAAATGATTTTTCCTAATTTTAACTCTTTAGAAAATGAAATTTGGGCAGTTACTTGTTTTTTTTTAAGGTCACACAGCTCTGAGTAGCTTTGCTAATAACCAGCCGTTTTACCCAACACAAGCTACTTCTGTTGCCTCAATTTCCTCGTTTATAAGATTCGAATCATAATTACACCTACCTCATAGGGTGAGAAACCGTGCTTACCAACTTCCTAGTGTGGTTCTTGGCACGTGGTAAGTACTAGTAAATGCTAGATGTTGCTATTATTTCTGTGAAAGCTGCAATTTAAATAACTTGACATTCAGCAGATTTTTTTTTCCTGCTATGTTGGATCTTTTAGAACATAAGTGGGCTGGTTATGCATGTATATTTCCAAAATGATTTTAAAGTCAATCTTCTGCTTAAAGCCTACGTCCCTACCACTTTACAAAGCAAAGCTACATGTGGCTTGCCCAGTTTCTTTTCTTAGACTTAGTAAAGTTTCTTCAATCCAAGTAGGGAGAGAAGAAAATTGATCAATGTTTTAATTGTGTGTGTGTGTGCTCACACCCTTAGTGTTAAAGGGTGTGTGTCTTAGTATATAAGGGAAAGTATGGGCTTCAGAGTCAGATTTTGATTCAGATTATGGGGCCAGCTCTTAGCCATGTGACCTTTGGGGATATCACTATCATCTTTATCCTCTATAAAGAGGATTAGTGACACCCATCTCATAGAATTGTTCTGATTTTTAGTTAAAGAATTTCCAGCTTCATAAAGAATGATCAGAAATGATACTACTTCCTGGAGAATACATTGTAAAGAGTGAACAAAATGGCTTATTTTATTTAGAAATAGTAAAATCTGTCCTACCCAAATGTAGTAAATTAGTTATTATCCTTTGAGACCAATATACTTGAAAAAGCTTTAGATGGGTTTTGCAAATGGTGGTATTATTTCACTTGGACTCCAGTGTCTTGAAATGTACCCATGAATTTTGCTTTGTTGATACAGGCAATTGAGTTAGTTGCCAAATGGATTTTAGTGGTTTGATATTCATCTTACTCAAAGCTAAAGACCTGAAATAATCTTTAGCCACTACTTCATGTTGAAAGCATTTCAGGCAAGTTTTACACGAAGAGGACATAGCAGATATTTGGTTAGTTTTTAGGAAACTTGCTTACTATATTCTTTCTCCAGGTATTTTGCACCACCCCCAGTATGGCAAGGAACATTAAGTTGTGTCTCATGGTTACCCAAGAATTTCAGTGTAGAGAGACATAGAGTCCTAATGTTATATAACTTATACTTAAAATGTTTACTTTTGTGTAGTTATGTGAAAAATACGATAATGTGGTCTTGCAACCAGTTTGATCTTTTTGTGGAATTGCTTTAGATACATGCATTAGTTAGCTCCATATTTTATATAGTTATTTTGAGTGTCTACTTCCTCTTGATGAACTGATTTGAAACATCAGATCAGGAATGTTGGACTTATGTAATTTTCCTTCTTTTTTTAAAGTACTAGTCATTTTTCTTAATGGAATACTGCTACTATCAAAGGAAGTATTCTGGCTTAGCTCCACTGGTTAATTTTCACTGTTTGCTCTTTAATTGAAGAAAACAAGTCTAAGGATGCTGTTTATGCATTTGTGTCTACTCAATTGAGATGGCAGTTATATATATAGAAATAGGAATAACATTACAGTTATATACACAGAAACAGGAATAATATCACAGTCGCACGTTTAGTTTTAAATAATATTATTAATTGTTGGGCGTATTGCATTAAGGCCTTCTATTTCAGATCACTAGAAAAATCTTCTGGTATTCACCCCTGTTATGTTTCTGTTAAGGTCTTAGAGATGTCTCAACTTTCCATAGGAAAAGTGAGTAAATGACAGATCAAAACTTGAGGCAGTATTGAATTCATGTTTTACTGATTTATGGAGAAGAATGATTTTATTATTTTCTACCATGTGAAAATGATTATGGGTCTTTTTGGACCAAAGGACTAATACTAAGGTGGTATCTAGGACAGTTTTATATTCTAGCTTAATGTCTATGTCTGCTCTAAACAAGGAAAGTATTTTAATTTAAAATATCACATATAAGCCATAAATACTTTACTCTTGGTACATTATATCCTAAAGCTCACAGGAGAAGTAGCTTAAAATTTTGTTTTTATGTCTAGCTTGTAAGTAAAATCACTTGTCATAGTGAGTTGCAAAATGCAAACCTTCATTTTGAAGCTGCCTATTTCTCATTTGGATCTGACATATTAAAAGGCATATAATTAATGCTTGACATTAGTAATTAACATTAACTTTATGGTGCTTAATATGCCATCGTTCATCCATCAAATAACCAGAAATGCATAATGTCTTGGCATAAAGGTTTTAATTAGAGAGAACTGTCCTTCAGTTTTCACATGGTATAAATGTTAAAAGCCCAGAATGTATTTAAGGAAAAACTTTGTATTTGTTTGTTGGGTGTTAGCTGTATTTTTATTTATTTTTTTTAGGAGCATGCATCAGCAGTTGTGTCAGGAACTTCAAAGGGAGAATGGGGACCTCATGGTGCAGTCTTCATTGTCGACTAAAGAGCGCCACCTTGCTGCGGTGGCCAGTGCGGTCTGGAGGCATTTCTTTTCGTTTCTGAAGAGTCAGAGAATGTCGCCGAGAGTGCCTCTCTCGCAACTCGCGGATGCGGCTGCAGGTCAGCGTTCTTAATTTGCCGGTTAGCTTCTCACTTTGCAGGCTCTGACAGTTTTTCCTTCTGTTTGCTTAGTAGCAAACTCTTATTTTATTACATTGAAATAAATATTTTGACAACAGGAAGAAAAGAATTATGTATTTTAAAATTGGGCTTCTTTGGCTTGTTTATTATTTTCCTGTTAGTAAAAGTAAAAATTAAGTGATGATTTGCTAAAAAGATCATTTTTAACCTTAAAAATACTGAATATACGTGAACTTATTCATGCGTTATTTGGAAAGTAAAGCAGTATTTGACTTCTAGTTCAGGTCGTTTATTTTCAGATTGTATGTGCAGATACCTAGTAAAATACGAAATTGAATAGAGAGCAAAAAGAGAGGGCTTGAATTCCACTTCAGCATAAAACCAATGAGATCAGAATGACATGGAGTACATAGAATGTTGCTGTTCAGACTTCTGTTAGATTCTATTTTAAGTTGTAATCTTTACTTAATTTGATTATTAGCCTATAGACATGTCCTTAGACTTTAAGGGACTCTGAATCAGATGAAATTATAGGCAAAAATTTGAATATATATATTCACATATGCACTTTCCCAAAAAGAAGCCTTTATCTTTTTCAAAGGGATATTTTATCCAACGTATGTTAAGAAGTACTGGAATAGAGAGAGATCAATATGGTGACTACATGTATTTAAATGCGGTTTTTAAGAAGATGGTTAATGTATTTAAATGTAAATGCTTTTAAAAACCTAAGCTCTAAACCAAGGTTTATTTTACCCTGGTGTGAATAAGGAAAACTTAGCTAAAAGCATTACATAAAAGACTTCATGATATACATTTGAAAAGATTTTGAATTCTGCTAGTGCTTCCATAATTAAAACTTTACAGTGATATGTACATTGGAGAACTATGACAGGGCAATGGTTTTCCAACCACTGTAATTTCTGTGAAAATAAATACTGACTTTCAGTTTAACCAAAGCAGTCATTATTAGTCGCTATGACTTATCTTTCTACCATTCATCACCCCAACTCCCACTTAATGACCAAAATGATACAAGTTAGTCAGTACTGTCTTAGGTACTGAAAATAAATAGTAATGTAGATATAAAGCAAATATATGTGGGTTTGGGGTTTGTTTTGAAGTAAAGACAGGAGGCAGAAATTTCCTGCGTTAAAAATAGTTAATGAATACTTTGCCATTGGGATTTATCAATGGGAGAAAAAGAACTACAGTTCCTTCTTTCATGCATAAGCTCTGTGTTCTTATGGAAGGAAGAGAACAAGGAGGAGGGTAAGTAAAGTGTGTAATATGTCAGACGATGATAAATGGCGAAAAAGAAAAATACAGAAAAGGATAGAGATAGGGAGCCTGGGTTGGGAAGATTCCCCTGGAGGAGGGAATGGCAACCCACTCCAGTATTCTTGCCTGGAGAATCCCATGTGCAGAGGAGCCTGGCGGGCTACAGTCCATGGGGTCACAAAGAGTAGGACACAGCTGAGCTATTAAGCACACGGGAAGATCACAGGCAAGTTATAACTTCAAATAAGAGTTGCCCAGAAAACTTGTAATAGGTATCATTTGAGCAAAGACCCGAAGGAGGTGAGATATGCGGCTGTGCAGATACGAGCTATGCAAAAATCCAGAGGCAAGAGCATGTCTGGTGTGTTCGAGAAACTGCACGGAAGCCATCAGCTCTTGTGGCATAAGAGATGGAGAAAGAGTAGTCAGAGATGCAGTCCACAGGCTGTGGAGAACTGCTTTCTGTCCTGCCTTATGCATAGTTGTAAAAAGGTTCACTTTTACCCTAAGACGGGAAAGTCTTGAGCAGAGAGGTGATATGATTGCTCTGGCTGCTGGACGGAGATTAGACTATTGAGAGGTGGGGAGGTCACCTTAGAGGACTCTTGTAACAGCTTAGAGATGGACAGCTGGAGCCACAGTGGGAGCGGTGGAAGTGGCGAGAACTGGTCAGATTTCCAGTTTGAAAGTAGAGCTGACAATTTTCTAAGTGGGTTTGATATGGTAAGCAAAATAGAGGAAGGGAGAAACCCTCGTTTGAGATGAGAAAGAATGTGGCAGGAAGAAATTTTTATGAGTGAAGACTGGGATTTTGACTTTGAATATACAGATATATTTTATATATATACCTCCCTTAAAATCTGAGTAGGGATGTTGAGTAGACCCCTGTATAATGAACCTGGGTTTCAGGGGAGAGGTCCAAGCTAGAGATTTCAATTTAGGAATTATTTATGTACAAATAGTCTTACAAAGCTATGACCTGGATAAGACAGACCCAGAGGGATCGGGTGGAGAGGGAGGTGGGAGGGGGGACTGGGATGGGGAATACATGTGAATCCATGGCTAATTCATTTCAATGTATGACAAAAACTACTGTAATGATGTAAAGTAATTAGCCTCCAACTAATAATGAAGAGAACAAGGAGGAGGGTAAGTAAAATGTGTAATATGTCAGACGATGATAAATGGCGAAAAAGAAAAATACAGAAAAGGATAGAGATAGGGAGCCTGGGTTGGGAAGATTCCCCTGGAGGAGGGAATGGCAACCCACTCCAGTATTCTTGCCTGGAGAATCCCATGTGCAGAGGAGCCTGGCGGGCTACAGTCCATGGGGTCACAAAGAGTAGGACACAGCTGAGCTATTAAGCACACGGGAAGATCACAGGCAAGTTATAACTTCAAATAAGAGTTGCCCAGAAAACTTGTAATAGGTATCATTTGAGCAAAGACCCGAAGGAGGTGAGATATGCGGCTGTGCAGATACGAGCTATGCAAAAATCCAGAGGCAAGAGCATGTCTGGTGTGTTCGAGAAACTGCACGGAAGCCATCAGCTCTTGTGGCATAAGAGATGGAGAAAGAGTAGTCAGAGATGCAGTCCACAGGCTGTGGAGAACTGCTTTCTGTCCTGCCTTATGCATAGTTGTAAAAAGGTTCATTTTTACCCTAAGACGGAAAAGTCTTGAGCAGAGAGGTGATATGATTGCTCTGGCTGCTGGACAGAGATTAGACTATTGAGAGGTGGGGAGGTCACCTTAGAGGACTCTTGTAACAGCTTAGAGATGGACAGCTGGAGCCACAGTGGGAGCGGTGGAAGTGGTGAGAACTGGTCAGATTTCCAGTTTGAAAGTAGAGCTGACAATTTTCTAAGTGGGTTTGATGTGGTAAGCAAAGTAGAGAAAGGGAGAAACCCTCGTTTGAGATGAGAAAGAATGTGGCAGGAAGAAATTTTTATGAGTGAAGACTGGGATTTTGACTTTGGATATACAGATTTATTTTATATATATATCTCCCTTAAAATCTGAGTAGGGATGTTGAGTAGACCCCTGGATAATGAACCTGGGTTTCAGGGAAGAGGTCCAAGCTAGAGATTTCAATTTAGGAATTATTTATGTACAAATAGTCTTACAAAGCTATGATCTGGATAAGACTGCTAACAGAGTAAGTAGTAAAAAGAGAAGTTTGAAGACAGGTCCCAGGATATTCCCATGTTCAGATTTGTAGGATTAGAAGGAACCAAGAAAGGAGACTGCAAAGGAATACCAGTGAGGTGATGTGAAAACCCATTAAGTGTAGTCCCACGGAAACCAAATTACAGAGCATTTTAAGGAAAGAATAGTGATCAACATTTCGAATGTGTTTAATGGGTCAGTTAGGATGAGGCCTGAGAATTGGTCATTGGATACAGTAGGGGTCACTGGTGACCTTGAAGAGCAGTTTTTTGCTGTAGTGGGTAGAGGCAAAGGCCCATTAAAGATATCCAAGAGAAGATGTGAGAAGGGGAATTGCTGGCTGCAAACATAAGTAAATCTTTTTGAGTATATCACCATTAAAAGAGGCTTCCCTGGTGGCTCAGATAGTAAAGAATCTGCCTGCAATGCAGGAGACCCGGCTTTGATCTCTGGGTCAGAAGATGCCCTGGAGGAGGAAATGGCAACCCTCTCCAGTATCGTTGCCTGGAGAATTCCATGGACACGCTACAGTCCATGGGATCTCAAAGAGTCAGACTTGACTGAGTGACTAACACACACACATCTATAAGAAGTAGAAAAAATGGGGATGTTAGCTGGAGAGGGAGGTGGGGTCAAGGAGGGTTGTTTTGTTTTGTTTTTTTTTAATAACATGGGAGAACCTCCAGCATATTTATAATGCTGACAGGAATGTGTAGGAGTGAGAGAAAACTTGATGCTGCAAGACAGTCATTTGTGTTTTAATTCCCATGAGAAATGGGATCTCATACAGGACTTGGCCTCAGATCTCCTGTGGTAGCAGAAGAGAAAGCAGAAAAAATGGGTCCACTTGGAGGTGGCAGGGTAGATGTGGTGGGTCTCTTCTGATGCTTCTCATTTCTCTGTGAAATAGTAAAAGTCACTAACTGAAAATGAAGATGGGGAGGAGATGCTGACTGATGGTAGAGAGAGGAGAGAAGGTATGCAGTAATCCTCTAGGAGAATGAAAGACCAAATGGACTAGGGAAATATGGTAGGAATGACGGCCAGCTCTAAGGACCCACTTACCATCTCTGGTCATAAATTTAAAGTGAGACCAGTCCACATGGTTGTTCACCAGCCACTTAACACTGGCCATAGGTGCCCGTGGGGAGAAAATGAAGAGTTGTAATTAAAAAGATAGTGTTTTTTTCCAGGCAAGTTCAGTGAATCAAGTAAGAGGCAAGGGAATTGATGGTATATGAAAATGAGCATAATGATGGAGCATTCGGTCAGGTTACTTGGAAAGGGAAGGGAAGGCACAAAGTCAGTGAGGAACACGGGGACAGTTGTAGGACCAAGGAATCGTAGGTCCTGATGGAATCAAAGGATTGCTGGAGGAGTCGGGAACCCAGAGGAGGAGAGCTGGAAAGCTAATTTGGTGCCAGAAAGAGGGGTCTTCACAGTCGGGATTTCAGGTTCTCCGTATCACCACGGGACTGAGTGGCGAAAGTAGTGGAAGGTGGTCTCACTGAGGGGGAGAAGTTCATGGCCAAAAGACTGGGAGAAAAAAATCATCAAGAACTATGACAGGAGTGCAGTTAGAAAGGATGACAGTGAGCTACAGTCTTCAGGGGATGAGAGGTGGTGAAGGAGGAAACAGACAGGTGCAACGAAGAGAGTGTTGGTGTAATTTGATGACCTGAGACTCAAAGCCAAAGGTTTTCAAGAAGAGGAAGGGAGAATGGTCTAGAAGCAGTAGTGTGGACCAGAAGTTGCTCACCCTTTGTGGGTCCCGTGTATGAGAGTGTGGGAGAATATAAACAGCCACCATTTGAGAGAGCATTACAGGAGGCAGTGCTTAATAAATAATTTATTGATAAACATAAATTGATGTTGGACAAGGAAATGGCAGCCCACTCCAGTATTCTTGCCTGGAGAATCCCATGGGCAGAGGAGCCTGGTGGGCTACCGTCCATGGGGTGGCAAAGAGTCGGACAGGACTAGAGTGCACGTACACATACATTGATGCACTGCAAATTAGGTTGGGAAATCCCAGGAAATCACAAATAAAGTCTGTTTACCATGGTGATCTAAGGAATTCTGGTTCCTAGAGTTTGTGAGTTCTGAGGGAAGTGGAGTATCACAGATTGATTGCAGGAAATCACTGTTTACTAGAAGAAAATGTCCAGTGTCCATGGTGAGTGAGAGCTCTTCATCTGTGGTCAGTGAAAGTGGAAGTCACTCAGTCATGTCTGTGGTAGGTGATGAGTAAATTAACTTGATTGGAAAAGAGTGGATGCTAGAAATATTTTTGGTAATGGATCATTTGCGTGAGAGAGGCTCTTTCGCAGAGACATCAGGTTTAGAATTTGCGGTTTGAGGGCTTTCCTGGTGGTTCAGTGATAAAGAATCCTTTGCTAAGGCAGGAAACATGGGTTGGGTCCCTGATGTGTGAAGATCCTACATGCCTTGAAGCAGATACGCCCATGCACTGCCACTATTGAGCATGCACTCCAGAGCCAGGGAACTGCGACTGCTGAAGCTCGTGCTCCCTAGAGCCTGTGCTCCACAAAAGAGAAGCGACTGCGATGAATCAGTCAATAATTTTTTTTTATTAATTTGCCATTTGAAGGGCCTTTCTATTATAGATGCATTGTGATAATGCTGAGACAGATTTTTCCAGGCCCTTTCTTGGAGATGCAGATAATCAGCACAGAAATGTCTTTGACAATATGAATTTAGTTCAGTTTTAGCTTTCTGTTCTACATTTCTAAAACGTGACATTTACTGTTTAGTGCTGATTTTTTAAAAAATCACTATTAACATAATTTGAAGGGAGATAGTGGTTTTTTTTCTTTCTTTTTCACATTCTCACTGTAAGTTTCTCTCATTGTAAATCTAGATTTTACTTTGCTGGCTATGGACTTGCCCAGCACTGCCCCATCAGATCTTCAGCCTCAGCCAGTTACATCAATGATACAACTCTTTGGTTGGGATGATATCATCTGGCCCCAAGTTGTAGCCAGATATTTAAGTCATTTCCTACAGAATAGGTAAGTGTTTTTATTTCAGGTGTACACATTAATGTAAACCCACAATAGATTAGTTCACGAGAAAGATGAGAGTTTCCAAAATAAAAACTGGTCTTTGCCATGTATACTTTCACTCGGGCAATTTGTTGCTTTCCTGTGTATCCACATGTTGACTGTATTAATAGGAGGAAAGTTTTCTTAAAACATTTTTGCTGCTGCTTTGTCAAAATGGTTTTTGTAGAACAGCCTTAACCTCATCCTGAAATTATCTTTCTACACTCGCCATTGTGAAAGAAATTATGCAATTAATATTGCTAAATCTGTAAGGCACTGTTCTATTATCACAGTTTTAGTTTAATGGTAGCTTTCCTCTTCACACTAGGCTTTTAAAGATCGGACTTTTGTGCAGTGATGAACAAGAGACTTCATCACCTTGAACTTTGATTTTCATGTCTTTAAGTGTCTGCATTACATAAGAGATCTGAGGAACCCCAACAGAAAAAATATACAATCAGGAATGGCATAGAACAATCAGGGTGATTCAGATAAGAATATCAAGATAAGGGAAAATAAAATGAATACACAAACCTAAGAGACCAATGTAGATCTGGTCTCCCTGGCAGCCAGTGAAAATGAAGAGAGGTATTCTTCTCAAAAGGAAGTTCATTAAGCATACTCATTAATCATTTTCTCACTAGTTTTCAGTTACACAGTAAGGGAGTTCAACTTCAATTGGATTACTTTTAGGATCCCTTCCAGCTTAAGAATTCTTTGATGACAACAAACATTTGTTTATATTATTTGTTAAATACTTGTGTGAAATTATCTCAAAGGATTTGTTTTTAAAATAATATTGGTATGTTAGCAGCAAGGAAGGACGAACTGAAATGAAGCAACTGAAGTGAAATGCAAAGATGTTAAGTAGCGTTGGGAGGTTGTATAGGTAATAAACAACCCATCTGAGTTCTGTTTTGTGTTCTCCTTTTTTATGAAAATGTGTATTCAGAGTATTTCGAAACAGTACTTTTAGAGTTATGATTTATGTATTTTTCAAGTGTGTGACTTTACACAACAGTTATAATTAGGTTAAGACTTATCCCCATCCTCTCATAAAATGATTAGAAATCAGATTAAGCCAGACCTTTGACTTTGTAATTTTTAAAAAGCTCTTGTTCATATGTTATTTTGGAGTTCTTTAATGATGACTGCCTGTGGGCGGGGGGAGCAGGAAAGGAAGGGAGGGGGATTAGATTGGTTGGGAGACCCTCATAGATGTATTTCATCTTTTTTCTTCTGTATATGGGCATGATTGCTTCTCTGTTTTACTCTAAGGGCCACGGTTTTTTATTGTGCTTGCCACTTCCTTCAGTATTATCACACAAAGCTGCTTAAACCCCTTCCCTGTTTTTCTCATTTTAACCATGTCTTTCCCTTGGCATAAGTCATCTGTATGCCACCAGTGGAAAAAGGAAAACTTAAAAATTAGGGCATTATAAATGAGAGCAAGAGTATTTGTCTAAAATATTTTGTGGTATCTGTAGTGTTTATTTTCAGCAGAGTATGTCTGCATTCGTGTGTGTGTAAAATAAGTGGGACCAAAAACTGGGGGGGTAATTAGAATGTTTTATTTCTGAATCTCTGTACTCAGGGAACACATTGTCAGGGTTTTGTTTTGGTTTCTGTTTTTAATATTCATCAACTTATTTTTACAGCATGTTATGTGAAGCACTTTCCCATTCAGGCTGTGTATCTTTTCAAGCCCTAACTGTAAGATCATGGATCCGTTGCATTTTGCAAATGTATGTAAAAAACCTTCATGTGCCAGATGACTCATTCATTGATAGAAATCCTGACCAGGCCGTTGGTAAGTACTGCAAGTGTTTTGCTTTCTGGCTTGCTAAGTGTGTTTAGAATTTCCTGTTTTGTTACATAAATTAATAGAAAAGATTAAAAAATATATATTTGTAAGTAGGTATTAATATGAATAGAAGTTTATTTCCATTTGCAGTCTGTTTCTTTTTTCTTGATATTTTGCCATTACTGTATATGACAAATTTCTCTCTTATAAAGATAAAAGAACTTATTTCCTTGGAAGCTCAGAACAAAAATTTGCTCTCAGGTGACAAGCTATTTTTTTATCTTGAAGAAACTGATCAGAAAAAAAAAGTGGAGATATGAAGTAAATAACCAGATATCATACTGTGAACACCCTATAAAGAAAAATATCCAATTATGAATAATTTCCTCCTTTTCCTTGTAACGTTTTTTTTTAATATTCCATACTGTTCTGGTTGTCTGGAGCATGTGCATTTTCCTTTTCCTAAAGCTATTGTTTATGGCCGGTTGTAAATCTTGCAAAGGCTGGACTGGAAACATGCTCCACGTTTACTTTTATATTTTATTATATCCGTTGGCTTTCCATTAATACCTTTTGGGACTAGGATGTTCACAAGTAAATGTTTGTTTGTTTTTAAATAAAGCCTTCCTATAGTGAGAGAAACTTAGTTTTTAAAAATGTAGAAATGTTCATTTTAAAACAAATCATTGTCACAAATGAAGAACGCTGCATTCTCTGCTCCCGTGTGTGTGTGTGAACGTGTGAATGTGCTCAGTCGTGTCTGACTCTTTGTGACCCTGTGGACTGTAGCCCACCTGGCTCCTCTGTCCATGGAATTCCCCAGGCAAGAATACTGGAGTGGGTTGCTGTTTCCTACCCCAGGAATGTATGTATATATACATATATGTAGCATAAACTTATATAATAAACATATAATTTATTTTGACAGAAAAGGACTACATGGAACAGTTGACTGAACTGACAAGGTTGCTATTTAAGCTATCAGAAGTAAAGAATATTTTCTCAAAGTCTCAAGTTGAATATTTACCCATCCCAGAAGATCCTAAAAAAGCACTTGTTCTGTTCTTTGAGGTATTTTTTTATTCATTAATATAATTGTCCAAATCAGTTACAATTATTTTTCCAAAAATCCTGAAGTGTTCATTATGTTTTTCTGTAAAATGAGTTATTTTAAACTGAATCATATTATTGGTTGCTGCTATTATAAAATTCTTGAAGAATAGCAATGTGAATCTAAGATATAGTGTACAATTCATTCTTGAGGACAGCAGAGGAATTACATTTAATGAAAAATAATAAGAGTAAAGAATGCCACATAAAGACCTTACTCCAAATTGATCGAAATCCTAGGAGTATCTTATTGCTAAAATTGCTGGCTAACCATATTCTGCAGGTACTTAAATCTCCTTATATATATGGTCCATAATAGGTCCAACTTAATGTTTACCACCCTGTAACAAACTATAAATTTTACAGTAAAATTTTAGTGTGTATTCAGCATAAGCACCAACTACTTCATATCCACAACATGGTTGGGGCTTTAAAATCTAATCCATTTGTTTTGTTTTGGCTCTGTAATAAATAGTCCCATTCAACATTTTACTTTTAATTATTAATTTTGTAGGGATCTATCTTACGTGATAGTCTTGTTTTATAGCCTAATTGAGGTTGTTAATGTGCTTGGATTAGTGTTTTTGTAAGCTATTCACAGTAAAACTTGGTTTATTTTCCCACAGTGGTTGATATTAACTGCAATGAAAATCATTACAACCTGTAAGCTCTTTGCATAAATGTGAATTCTTCCATTGGTTTTCATTAAGTTAAAATACAATTGTACAACAGTTAGAGATGTCATATTAATCTTAAAAATATTTCATAATGGTATAGTAAGTGAATATGAAAGTTGCTCAGTTGTGTCCAACTCTTTGCAACCATGGAATTCTCCAGGCCAGAATTCTCCAGGCTGGAGTGGGGTAGCCTTTCCCTTCTCCAGGGAATCTTCCCAACCCAGAAATTGAACCCAGGTCTCCCACATGGCAGGCAGATTCTTTACAGGAAAGCCCAAGAATAATGGAGTAGGTAGCCTATCCCTTCTCCAGGGGATCTTCAGTATATGCAAATGTAAAATACACATGTCTCTGGAGCCTTTTCTTTAGCTGTTGATTGAATCTCCATCTGTAATTAAACACCTTTGCCAGGGACTATCCTGGACCAGAAAAGAATGTAAAAGTCAAGTACCCCATCAACCATATTCAAAGGCTCTCCTAGTTTAATCCTGTCCAAATTAATTGCTCTTTCACCACTCACTAAACTATAGTTATTCGCTAAATGCTAGATAGTATTAAGCGAAGATTTCTTAGGGACGTAAAGAACCAAAAGAACTAGTCCTTGATCTTAGTGAACTTCTGCTTGTCTGAGAATACAAAATATGCCCAGAGATTAAAATAATATAAGATAGTATGATATGTAAGTTAGTAAGATATGATAAGTGCCAGTTAGTTGATAGGTCAATCAGCAGGTTAAGAATTCAGAGCATCTTGATATAAGAAGTTTAGTTTTTACCTGTGAACAGGCTTTATAAATTTTTAAGTAGTTCTGACTTGTTCAAATGACTTTAAGAAGATCGGTAACAACAGAGTACATTAAAGGCTCCGGAGCACTAATGGCCAGAAATGAGTGGGACTTAGGAGGAATTGAAGATTGAACTAGGGGATCTTTGAGTGATTGTGATATACTGTGTTTAACTAGAAGAATGATGACCTTAAGCAGAGATCATGATTTAGGATCCTAGGGGCCAAAGTAGGTGAGAAGCCCGATTTTAAACCCGCTTAGTTTGAAATTGTCTCGGGGTGCTCAGGGACCTGTCTCCCCCACCACGCGCTGTGACTCACAGAACTCAGCATATAGTTGTACTTAGGTCTGTGACTTCACAGTGCAAGGTTTCAAAGTACAGTCAGCAAAGAGAAAAGGAACATGGGTGACATCTGGAGAAGCCAAGCGCAGCTTCCTCTTCTAGTGGTGTTGCCCTGGACATGGTGAATTCTTCCGGCAAGGAGTTGAGAGCACCTGGGAAATTCTTTACTGGGGGAGCTCTTAAATGACTCAGTGCCCAGGGGTTTGGTTTTGTTTTGTTTTTCTATTTTTTTAGTAGGGGCTGGCCACCTAGGCCCTGTTTATTCAGCACTTTTAAAAATCCAGATTCCTAGAAGGAAAGCAGGTATCCAGCATAACTGTATTGGTTGCACAAACTGTTGAAACACAGTGAGCCATTCTTATCAGAAAGTGATGGGGAAAAAAATATAAGGTTCCAAAACCCACCCAAGGGCCAACCTTGCATGTAAGCCTTCTAAGTTAGTGACATTGGGACCTGCTATGTTAACTCTTCTCAGCAGAGAAATGATAGCATGGCATGAAGGTAGGGGGATAGTCAAGGCACTGAAAAATACACATCTCAGAATTCGGAGAGGTTAAAGCGAAACAGAGAGAAATACTGAAATCTAGGGCACTGGTTTTCTCAAACGCCTCTTTCATAGACTTCTAGGAGTCAGTAATTTTCAGGGGTTCTGTGAGCTCAGAAGTATATTGGCATTTATACAAAGAACGTAAAAGCTGTAGTAGAAATCAACACCATGGCCCAAGATTATACTAGTAATCATAATTTTCAAGGCCATGCAGTCACACAGGGGGAGAAAAGTCAGTTCACTTAAGAATATCACTAATGAAGCCATAAAGTTTTCGATTTTAATAAATTTTGATCCTTGAGTACATGCCCTTTTTGTATTCTGTGAATGACAATAGGAAGTGTATTTAAAGTACATTTGCTGCACACCGAAGAAAGACTGTTTAAATAAGAAACACTTATGTAATTGAGTTGCGAGCTGAATGGACACTTTTATCATGAAAGAACAACTGACAAAATATGGTTATTCAGACCTGAGTATTTGGCAAATATTTTCTTAAAAATGAGCCTGTCACTTCAAAGAAAGCAACTTTGAAATCACTTCAAAGACAGCATGTTTGCTAATTAATATAATTTAAGCTTTTAAGAAAATTAGAATTTTGTAACACTTATATTTGCCACCAGGAGCTTGAAAACTTCTTAACAGTTTAAGATTTTTGGATAGCATTGGTGTTAACAAATACAATTATTTGTTATATTAACAAATATGATTTTTAAAAAGTACAGACAGTGAAATGTGTTGTCCAAATTGGGAACCAAAATTTTTCAGATAACAAGTACAGACGTTTTCGAAAGCATGCATGGGTGGAAAACATGCATTCAAAGCACAGGATCGACCAGTGGCTTTTAATGTAGCAGAGTACAGACTCTGCATTAAAGTGACTTTGGAGGCCATATGACAACTCACGTTTAAGAAATACCACTTATCAAGTTTTGGTGTAATATCAAAAAGGAATTTCACAATTATCTGAAACATTTATTAAAATACTTTTTCTTCTTTCAGCTACATGTATGTATGAGACTTATTTGCTTTTATCTACAACATATTGCAACAGATGGTATGCAGAAGCAGATATGAGAATAACTATCTTTTATTAAGCCAGACATTAAAGAGATATGCAGAAATATATAAAAAAAAAAAGCCACTTTTCAGTACGTTTTTTTGTTTGTTTTGGAAAAGGAAGTTATTTTCACTGAAAATATATTACTTACAGTAACATGTTTATAATTTTAAAAATAATTAAAAATTTTCTGTTGTAATTCCTAACATAATAAATATCAATAGATATAGTTCAAATAATATAATAATGTGAGAGTTGGACTGTGAAGAAAGCTGAGCGCCAAAATATTGATGCTTTTTGAACTGTGGTGTTGGAGAAGACTCTTGAGAGTCCCTTGGACTGCAAGGAGATCCAACCAGTCCATCCTAAAGGAGATAAGTCCTGGGTGTTCATTGGAAGTACTGATGCTGAAGCTGAAACTCCAATACTTTGGCCAACTGATGCGAAGAGTTGACTCATTGGAAAAGACCCTGATGCTTGGAGGGATTGGAGGCAGGAGGAGAAGGAGACAACAGAGGATGAGATGGCTGGATGGCATCACCGGCTCCATGAACATGAGTTTTGAGTAAATTCCGGGAGTTGGTGACGGACAGGGAGGCCAGGCGTGCTGCGATTCATGGGGTTGCAAAGAGTCGGACATGACTGAGCGACTGAACTGAGCTGAACTGAACTGAAGCCCTTTAAGATCCTCAATTTTTAAGTGTATAAACAGGAAACTGAGACCAAAAGTTTGAGAATTTCTGGTCCAGGAAAAGAAGTATAGAAAACCAAGGGCAGAGATCTAAATGGAAAAGGGGATTCATTGAGTATATATCTTTTTTCTCATCTGTTCACTTCCTAATCACTCATTCACTAGGTTTCTTATCTTTTCCTTCATTCTACATTTTATCATCAACATGGCTAACTTTATTATCACCTTGGATAACTTACCTTGAGTCCTCATGTCAAGTCTCCTCCAGTAGTCTCTCGGTGATCTTCACTTCTGCAGTTATCCATCCACTCCCGTGACTAATCACTGAACCATGGCGTCAATGGGTGCATCTGAAAGTTCACTGACTGTCACCACTTTCCTTCCAGCTCTTGGAGTGACTTCATCAGGACCTTCCTTTCCCTATTTTCCAAGTGCAGCATCCTCTGATGGTCTCACTTTCTTCTCTATCTGCCTTAAGTAAACCTCTTGGAGGCCTCATTTCAACTACTCTTAAGCAACGCACTCAAAATCTCCCACCCCTGACTTTTGGTTACAGCTGTAAACCTTCAACTTTGGATCAGTACGACCACCCATTTTCTTTCCTCTGTCTTATGTTCTGAGAGCCTCAGGAGAAAAACCATGTAACCATGTATCCTGGTGCCATTCATGGTCTGGTTTGGGTGATTGAAATTCATTGTAAGTTCTCAGTAGTGGCTTAGAAACATCACTACTGTCCTCAAACCTCACCCATCCCTAGCCAGTTTTCTCTTGATTCTTTTTGTGACTTCTCAACTCTTGCTTATTCTTACTTTTTACAACTAGCCTCTCACGTATTTACCTTCTTCTTCTGACTTCACCATTATTCTTTCACTACCTCATCTCACACTTCTCTGCCTCCCCAATTTGCCATTTATACCCTTTGTACCTCATCCTATTTTTCCCTCTGAGAAAGTTAAGCCGGCAAGTATTGGCTTATAAACAAAATTCTGAGGAAAAAATCAACTCTTATCATAAACCTGAACTTTATGGAGTTCTGACTTATAAGAGTTTATTAACCTCACCAGTAGGTCTTTCTTGTAGAAATTTGTGGATTTAGAATTCCCAGTTATGTGCTAGAAATATGGTGAGCCATCCTGTTTGGAATGCCTAACAGGAAATTTGTTTATAAGCTTCTTGTATATTAGTCCCATGTGTCTTTAACTAATACTTTGCTGACTCATAATTATTGGTGAATTGATTTTTTTTATTCTTCCTTTAGCCTTTATTTTAATTGTAAAAGGCAAGGTAATTCTTTTTTCTGGATTTTAATTACTGTGAACATATATTGGAAAGTTAAGGATGAAGGCTTAAATGTAAGGAATATGTATGTGCATGTGTGTGGTAGAAAGAGGAATTATCTGTATTTTTCAAAGTCTGAATTGTAGAAAGCTTGGAAAGCTAAATCATGTTTTTTCTTATTTATAGGCTGTTGGTATAACTTACGGGAATCTGCAGACATTTTCTGATAAATCTGCCATGGTCACAAAGTCCTTAGAATACCTTGGTGAAATATTAAAATATATAAAACCTTATTTGGGAAAAAAAGTTTCCAGTGCAGGGCTGCACCTGACTTATACGATGATGGGTATGTATCCCCGACTTTATTAAAACTTCCCTAGACTGAACCTATGGTATCATGATGGATAGGAATATACTTATATACTGGCTAAGTCACTACTCTCCACACAATCTTAAGAATAATCCAAAAGACAGTGATTTAGTTTAAAATAATTCATGTTGATTTTCAAGTGTATCTGTGTCTTGCCCTATCTCCTTTCAGAACTTTTCTTGTGCTTGGTTAATACTAAAATTAATTACGATCAATACAAAAAACACACCAGCTCCAGCTTGCTACAGATAGTCTGTTGTAAATCATTCACATTGTGAATGCCTGCATAATTAAAATGAACCCTTTTCCAACACTTATCTAGGCTTTGTTAGAATTTAAAACTTCAGAAAACCATCACTTCTTCTGTTTTTTATGGTCTGCTCTGTATGAAGGAGGTCAGGAAAGGATTTATTATAGTGGTAAAAGATATTTATGCTTCAAATCTTGTTTCTCACAATATGTTTTCTCCTTTCAAAAAGAAAAGAAATCTTCTTCTTTGTCTGCGCTGTAAGAACAGAGGTCATCCTTCTTTAGGAAGTCAGTAATTTGAATATCTCTGTTCACTGAAACCTTGTTGCTAACCAAAAATAGGAACTGGATAAAGGGAAATGAGAAGGATTTCCTTAGAAGTTTTTATACAGAATTTAAGTTTATTTTTTTTTCTCTGTGGCCAAAACCTTATATCTGTTCCCTTTGATCTTGTGAACATATGAATAAACCTGATTTGGGCTGTCTGAAACCTTTTATCTTTGTTGTGAAAGATAAAGGAGAATGTGAAAATGTGTAAATATGGATGATGTAGGATGTAGTGAAAGCAATAGTAGCAATTTGGTCATTTTAATTTTAAAGAAAAATATAAGTTAGAATCTATTATAAATTTAACTTAGTAAAATGTAGATTAACATGTATTTCAGCATTTAAACTTATAATTTATTAGTTGCTATTAGATTTTTGCCAAGCTAAATGTATGATTTTAGAAGGATGTATTTATTTTACAAAATACATGATTGTCTTATCAAGAACTGCAAAATCATTTGGATTGGTGATATGTAGACCTGGGACATAATTCTCCTTATGAAGAGGGGGCCTTCTTTGTTTTGTTACATGCTTGATTTTTTATTTAATGGCCAGTGGATATGGTATTCTTTTCCTTTGTCTAGTCCTCAGAGTCTGGAATAGAGTACACTGCTATAGTGTTGCCCATTTAGTCAGCAGAAATTAGGAACAGATGTCTTTTACGGGTACACAGGTTTAGAAGAAAACAGAGAAAGAGCAAATACAAATTGTTGACAGTTGGAACCTGTTTTGGGTGTGTTGGCGTTGGGAAATCACGTCGTCTAGAGTAGGTGAAAGAAAATTAACCACTGAAACATTGGTACTTTGTTTACCTGGCTGGGTCCTCCCTGGGGATAAATGCCTCTGCTGTTCGGTTGCCCCGCTGCTGGTGGAGACACTAACTCTTGACAGCATCACTCCAGATGAAGGCATCTGGGGTCTTAATTGTCTCCAGGTAATTTCTGAGGAGGCAGGATTGATCTCTCAGTAGTGTCTTCAGCTTCCCTTCCCTTTATGTCCTTTTTTTTCCATCCTTTATATCTCTGGTTTTTCTGTGGTTTTTCTGTTTTCATGACTTTCCTTTTGATCATGTTTCTCTCTTGGGATCGTTCTTCCCCTTTGATCTTTCAAATTGAAATTCTACACATGACCCTTCACTGTCCAGCCCAGGAAGACCTGCTCTCCCTGACTCTGCTTCATCTGTCCTTCTCTTCTTCTTTTTTTTTTTTTTTTGGTAGCTTTCCGTTTATTACAATTATTTGAGTACTTGATATGCCTCCAGTAAAATTTAAACTTGCTTATGGTTAGTGGCCGTATCTTACTATTCCCATCATCGTCTTGTATTCTGAACAAATAAGAACATTTACTGAGTATACATCAGGCACTGATTTGGGAACTGATGTTACAGTGGTTAAAGAGATGTGCCAGTGTAGAGGATGGCATATATTAAGTAAATATTTCTGGAACTTAATAACCTTAAATATAAATGTAGCTATTAGTATATAGTGTATTTTGTAGTGTTGCTAAATGAGCAAAGTTGCTTTCTGTTAACTACATCTAAAAATACATAATGATCTCAATTGTCTTTTTTTTTTTAAGACTTAATATATACATAGAGTAGCAAATAAGTAAATACATAAGAACTCTTGTAGTGTGACTTTCAATTGTGGGAATATATTCCCTACAGTTTTCCTATATTTTCAGCTTTATCAGTAAGTAAGTAATAGTTCTTGCTGGTGGTTTAGTCACTAAGTCGTGTCCGACTGTTGTGACACCGTGGACTGTGGCCTGCCAGGCCCTTCTGTCTCTGGGAATCTCTAGGCAAGAGTACTGGAGTGGGTTGCCATTTCCTTCTCCAGGGGGTCTTCCACATCCAGGAATCGAACTCAGGTCTCCTGCATTGCAGGCAGATTCTTTATTGACTGAGCTACAAAGGAAACCAAAATGAAAGTGAAAGTTGCTCAGTCCTGTCTGACTCTTTGCAGCCCCCTTGGGGTTCTCCAGGCCAGAATACTGGAATAGTTCTTAGCCAGGAAAAATACCTGGTTTCTTACAAAGCTGCTCTGTGTATTTAAACCTTTTCCAGAGTTTTTTACTTAAAATTTTTTTCTTTGCATTTTTAATTCCACACACCCTTGAATGTTCTTTCCTCAAACTTTCAAATTAGGGCTTGATAGCAATAAAACAAATGTATCATCTCTACCTTCTATGAACTCATGAAATTTCAGGTCTTTGTCAGTGTTATAACCATTGCAGAAGATAAAATACAAGGGTAGATGAGCTGTGTTCAGTTGGAAGGTCCTTGCTGTTTATAAGTTAATACCTGTGTGACACTTAGAGTGATATGAATCATTTCAAATGTTGGTGGTGATGACAGGTCCTCTTAACAGTGTATTAATGTTGTTTAGAATGTGAGCTCTTCTTACATTGCTGTCATCCTCAAGATTTTCACCTGCTGGAAAAATGAGCAACAGGCCAGCGTTATTTAAAATATTGCTAAGTGAGCATTGTGTTTCTTTATGATTGATTATTGTATTTTCTTTTACAACAGAAGATTAATGTTGCTGTTTGTTCTTAGAAGTGATTATTGGTTGTTGTTGTTGTTGTTGTTTTTTTTTAAACTGTATATTCATCTATAAGAATATTTTTGTTTTCCTTCAGAGCTTGAATTTTAAACTCTCTGTTTTGTGGAAATGACTTTGAATTTTATCTTCTTTTTTGCTTTTCTAAGATGAAATAAAATATAGAAGTTTATGCAGGAACTGTGCCACTGCTGTTTGGACAAGTGCTTAATGATCTCCTTTTAAATTCATATTTTTCAGTAAAAGAGGGCTCAGTGGCAGTAATATACTCTAAAGGGAAGTATATATCTGCCCTTAATTACTTTGTTAAGCAAAAAGTGCTCATTTGTTGATTTACCATCATTGAGTTGTAGCGGTTTTTTGACAGACTCCTACCATTAGGAAACCATATAATAGAGTTCATGTAGTAAAGAGGTCCATTTCTCTTCTTTTAGAATCAAAACTTAAATTCAGTGTTTATGTTAAATAGGTATAAATTACAAAAACTGAAGTTCCAAGAGGTTAAGTGATTGCTTCAAGATGTTACAGCTAATCTTTTTTCCTACTTCAACAGTTAAATTTAGCAATCCCTCTTGTGGCAAACTGGGTTCAGACAGCCTGAAAATGTAATTCAAAATATAAAGAAATAAGACTATCAGTAAAATTTAGAGTGGCGTGAAGAAGCCCAGGGAAAAGTGAATATACACACAAAAGCATAATATATGGTCTTACAGTGTTCTTAAAGTTGGGCTGCAGATTGCCTCTGAGTTTCCTAGCAGCCAGAGCAAAGAGAGAGAGAGAGATCTGGCTAATTGCAACATTCAGTCAATAACTTCACATAATGTATAACCACACATTGTGTGTATGTATTAAATGCCAGTTGCGCAGGAAATGTATGTTTTTCTTGGCCCAGAACTCTGAGAGAGTTGCCTCTTTAGTGAAATACTTCGCATATGTCTTTTGACTGTTAATACATCTTTCTTTCTATTGCCAACTTTAAGTTGGTCCTCTGTATTTTAAATATACATTTTTTTTTTTTACTGGAATGACAAAATTTTCTGATTAGAAGATAACCATAATTTCTCTTACCACTCCTCTTTGTTAGGAATTCTAGTTAAATCATGGGCACTGATCTTTGCCACCTCTAAAGCCCAAAAATTACTATTCCGGATCATAGACTGTTTACTGCTGCCACATACAGTATTACAGCAAGAGAAGGAGCTGCCTGCACCTATGTTGACTGCAATTCAGAAGAGTCTTCCTTTATATCTCCAGGTATAGTAAGTGTGACTCCTTAAAAGTAAAAGGAAAAAAAAAAACTGACGCTTGCCTTAAAGCAGTTTACTAATTGCAGATTTCAAAACCGTACGTTGTATTCCTCGTGTCCACGTGTGATGATGTACTTCCACTGAACAGGTTTAAAATTCTTTTATGTTGAGCTCTGAAAACAAAGATGAAAGAGGCAAAACCTCCACTCTCAAGAAGCTTAAAGTTGAGCGAAGAGACTGACTGGTGTAGACAATCCAGCATTTGCTCAGTCTTTCCCTCAGAGGCCTCCGCTCTCTGTCAGCCAGACTGGGCGGAGGAGATGCAGGAGGAGATAACTGAAGCAAAGGATGTTAGGTGTTAGAGACAGCGGCTAGGAGCTGAAGGGCCTGCCTGTCGGAGGGAGCCGCAGCGCAGGGCCTCAGCTGTACGGAAACGTGACTCTTGGGGAAAGGCAGATAGTTCTGCGGCTGGAGGCTCATGCAGGAGGAGCCACATAGTGAGAGTTTGGTGCGCTCTTAAAGTCTGGACTTGCCCTTGGACAAGGGAATGTTGTTGGAGTGTGAGCAGAGACGTGGGAGTGCCATACCATATTTACGTTTCAGAAAGGTGATTCCGGTGGCCGCATTTAAGTTGGTGAGGAGGTTAGATTGGAGATTTGGCAGGCAGGGGGTAGTTCATTATCTGAAGGTATAACTAAGGGGTATAGAAGGTATAACCAAGTTCGTTATCTGAAGGAACTAAGGCAGTGGGTACAGAGCACACAGCAGATTTTAGAAACATTTAGGATCACCAGTCACAGGGCTGAGTGTGAGTGTTGTAGAGCAGCAGAAAGAAATGGAATACTTCTTAGATTCCATGGTGGCTGCCTATATCAATAGTTGTGTGGAGTGCTTGCCCCAGCGTGGCCCTCTGATACCAAAACAGTTCACATAAGAATTCTTATAAACTTCCTAAGCTTAAAAATTAGTTGAATTATCCATTTGGCAGAGCTGATTTGGAGCTCTATCTTTAGCTTCTTAAAGGTATAAGCTTTTCTCATCAGAATTTTTTTTAGAAGTACTCATTTATTATTTTATCTTCTGATGTAATATGCTTTTCCTCAAACAGAGCATGAAAGAAATGGGTGGGGGAGTCCATTGTTTTGTTTTTTTCAATTGTTTAAATGCTTGTGTTTTAACAGCTTTGTACTGTTTTTCATTAGAAGTAAACTTTCAAAATTTTACTGGACAAATACCATTTATAGTTAAAATAGAGACATGGCAGTCATTTCTGATTATTTCTCTGGAAAAACCACATTGTGAAATCACCAAGGTACAAAATTGTAGGTGAACCTTTAGAGCATAATTTGTTGCTCTGTTGGTGATTATTTAGTAAAATGCAATATTTAGTAATATTAGCAGAAAAAAAATTTTTTTTAGGGTGTTGATTTGTTTCTAAGTATCAAACACTGCAATCCATGTGAAAGTATCTCATTAACTCTATACAAATACAAGGATTTAAATCAACAGACATATAATAAGACATTATGAGTTCTGTTTGACCTTCATCAAACTCTTCTCTAAACCTCAGTTTCTCCAGCTATAAAATCAGAGATATAACACTTAAGTCAGTGAGGATGTATTTTGAGAAATTTAAATGAAATACTGAATACAGAACATGCGCGGCACAGTGCTGACATATTAAAAAACCTCAAAATCAATTGTCATTATTCCGAGTCTTCTGCATTTCTCTGCTTTTGTTATTTTTATTTAAAAAATGTATTATGTTTCTTAACAGTGAAAGTTTTTAGCATAAATTTTATAGTCTTATTCAGATAAAATGACCAGTACCATAAGTTTTAAAATAGACCTAACGAGAGTGGGATGATTTGGGAGAATGGCATTGAAACATGTATATTATCATATGTGAAACAGATCGCCAGTCCAGGTTCAATGCATGAGACAGGGTCCTCGGGACTGGTGCACTGGGGTGACCCAGAGGGATGGGATGGGGAGGGAGGTGAGAGGGGGGTTCAGGATGGGGGACACATGTACACCCATGGCAGATCCATGTCAGTGTATGGCAAAACCACTACAATATTGTGAAGTAATTAGCCTCCAATTAAAATTAAATAAATTTATATTAAATAAAATAGTCCTAATGTGTATTTTATAACATTGTAATTATATATGTATTTCATTGATGAGTCTGGTGGTGAAGTTTTCTGAAGATGAGACCCAGAAGGGAGCTTCCTCTGTCTTCCTGCTTCCCTCCCCTGCCTCCTCTGGGTGTGCCCCAAACACATTTGTTCGATTAGGTGCCACTACACAGGTTAGCAAACCCAGCTGCTCCGAGCTTCATACAGCGTGACCTGTTGGTTATGGAAGGTGTTCTTGTTGACTGTGTTAAGTTACACATTCTGATGTAAATATCAATGCCGGGGGCAAAATTAGTAACTTCCTAATTTTTTTTGAAACTTTATCTTTTAGTATTTCTCTCTTTTTTTTTTCCTCTCCTGTAGGGCATGTGTATTGTGTGTTGTCAGTCTCAAAATCCAAATGCCTATCTGAATCAATTGCTGGGGAATGTTATTGAGCAGTATATCGGGCGATTTCTTCCAACCTCAGCTCATGTCTTAGGTGTTGGACAACATCCCGTTTTGTTGGCATTGAAGAATTCAGCCAGTGTTCCACCGATGTCATTGCTAAAGAAATGCATTGTCCATGTCATAAGGTACATCTGAATATTAAGAATAAGTGGTATTTACAATGTATTATTCTCTATTAAAAACAGAATACTTTATTTTCTCTTAACCTGTTACTTAAACCTGTTACTCAGGTTTGAAAGCTTCATATTTTTTGTTTCCTCTCCATTTTCAGCCTTTGGCAAATGATTGTCTCCTTCCCTTTTCACATCCCTTTTTTATCACATTATACCTACACTGTTGCCAGAGTCTCATAACTAATTTCACTATCTCCGCAGCACACCAGGCCTACCTGTCCATTACCAACTCCCGGAGTCCACCCAAACCCATGTCCATCTAGTCGATGATGCCATCCAACCATCTCGTCCTCTGTCATCCCTTTCTCCTCCTGCCCTCAATCTTTCCCAGCATCAGGGTCTTTTCAGATGAGTCAGCTCTTCACATCAGGTGGCCAGAGTATTGGAGTTTCAGCTTCAGCATCAGTGCTTCCAATGAACACCCAGGACTCGTCTCCTTTAGGATGGACAGGCTGGATCTCCTTGCAATCCAAGGGACTCTCAAGAGTCTTCTCCAACACCACAGTTCAAAAGCATCAGTTCTTTGGCACTCGGCTTTCTTTATAGTCCCAACTCTCACATCCATACATGACCACTGGAAAAACCGTAGCCTTAACTAGACGGACCTTTGTTGGCAAAGTAATGTCTCTGCTTTTTAATATGCTGTCTAGGTTGGTCATGACTTTGCTTCCAAGGAGTAAGCATCTTTTAATTTCATGGCTGCAATCACCATCAGCTGTGATTTTGGAGCCCAAAAAATAAAGTCTGACGCTGTTTCCACTGTCTCCCCATCTATTTCCCATGAAGTGATGGGACCAGATGTCATGATCTTAGTTTTCTGAATGTTCAGCTTTAAGTCTACTCTAGATGTCTTGAAAGTGGAAGTGTGAATCGCTCAATCATGTCCGACTCTTTAAGACCCCATGGACTGCAGCATCTAACAAAAGGAAGGGCCTTCCAGTTCATATGACTTGGAAGGCAGAGTAAAGACAAAGTTCATTATTGAGCACCCACTTGGATTTCCTCTCTCCTTTCTCACCTCTTGGGCTTCTGTCCCTGGGTTGGAAAGATGCCCTGGGGAAGGAAATGGCAACCCACCCCAGTATTCTTGGCTGGGAAATCCTATGGACAGAGGAAGCTGGCAGGCTACAGTCCACGGGGCCACAGAGAGTGGGACGCGACTTAGTGACTTCTCCATTAAAATGCTATCTACTGGGTTAAATGTTCCTAGGCTTTCTGAGACCTACACCTAATATCTCAGTGTACCGTGATGCTTCTTTCCTTCTTCTGGAGCCATGCGCTCTGTGTAATTCAGTTCTCAGAATCATGATAGTTTTGCCAAACTTGTATGTGAATTTTGCAGCATGATTATAGTACCCTACCACTGTGTTTGAGACGTTGCGTAGGTAATTTTAGTAAACCAAATGGCAAGTGCTGAAATGGAATCAAATCCTTAAGACCTTAAAGCTGTTAAAGCCCAGTGTTTAGGACCCTGGCTACTTTTCCTTGACTTTCCTCTTTACTTTGTATATAGTGAAAATGTTTTTCTTAATGTTTCTAGTTGAAGACCTAAACAAGTAGCAATTCCTTTTTCTTTTGTTCTTTTAACACTCAGGAAAGACAGAGAGATTGTCTCCCATGACTTCCTCTATTCCAAGCTTCTCTACTCCTATAATTCCCTAGTTTAGGACTCCTTCTACTGAATTCCCAAGAATTCTGAGATTATCTTCCAAAGCACCTATCACACTATATTATAATTGTTCTTTTCTTTCTTGTCTAACTTTTCCACTGGACAGTGAGCCATTGCTTTCAGAGACCATATTTTACTTTCTGTTCTTAAACTTTTACCAAACACACCACATACTCAATGAATGTTTGTTCTAGGCATTAGGAATTCAGCATTAAATAAAACACATAAAGCAATTGATCTCAAAGAATGAATGAATTTTCTAATATGTAATATTTGTTGGAAGTCATTGTATGGAGTAGAAATGATGAAGGCATAGTTCTGCCCTTAAGGAATTTGTAAGATTTAGTGATTTCTATGCCCCATTTTGGCAAATTGTATCTCTTCACAAAATACATGTAGATGTCTGGTTTAGATTTAGCTATATTTGACACTTTTTCATATTGTCTAGACTTTCTAGAAACTTTCCACTTTTCATTTATTTTCCACTTTTCATTTATTCACATAAAAAGTACACTGAACACCTGCTCTGAGTTGAGACTTGTTCTAAGAGGTAGAGATAGAAGATGAGGCAGATGAGTTATCTTTTTGACCTCTGAGTTCAAATGATTAAAGTTATCCTGCTTTAAAAGAAGATATTAAATCCTAAATTACCTCTCTAATTCTTTTATTTCATAAGGGAAGGAAGGATACAGGTTGGAATGGAAAGATGATTTCTAGTATAGTTCTCTTATTTATTTGGAAAAAGAAGACTCTCTTTCAAATCTATAGATAAATAAATATGAGGAGAGACTCTTTATGCAATTCAGAATAAGAAAATGTATCATTGAGGAGCTCATGGGGAGATAAAGCTTATATTAGAAAGAAAAAAAATTAACAGACTTTTATTAGATTTTGATTGTTTATTTTAAGACCTGTTTGCTTCATATTTAGTTTGTATCTGTATTCTGCTTTGGCCTTTATAGCATGCCAGTAGGATATGCAGTCATTGCTTCAAAAATCTTAGGTTTGAAGAAAATATGGTAAAATATACATAGCTTTTAAAAATTGTGCTTTATGGATTTCAGAGATAAAATAGGCCATCATCTTTCAAGTGTATGACATTTGATTCTGCTCTGTTGAAACTTTAAAGAGAAAGAAGAACAAAATTGTGCTTCTTTTCAGGAAGTCCTACTTTGAGTTTAAAGGATCCTTGCTGCCTCCTCGTTTGGCATCCATTCTGGCCTTCATCCTCCAACTTGTTAAGGAAACTAACACTGATGTTTCTGAGATTGAACTACTCCTCCCTGGAGTATTAAAATGCTTGGTGCTGGTCAGTGAACCTCAAGGTTAGTTCATTTAAGAGTTTGTATTTGTTATACTTTTGTGTTCACAAATTAAGAAAATATTCAATTCTATCAGTTATATTGACAGTTATGAAAATATATGGTTATTTCATATCAACTTAATTTTTATCATAACTAAAGAATGAACTCCAGCCAGTAGCTGAGGTTGGGTGTGATAAAATGGTTAAAAACTGACATGATTCAGTCTAGTTGTTTTTTTCCCCCCTCCCAAATAATTGGTTTATGCTTATTTAATTTTTGTTCAATTTGTCTCTGATACTGAATGCAACTTGCTAAGTATCAAGTGGTGAGCGGGCAGCCTACTTTCTCCTATTCTAGATTCTGCTATAATATGTAAGGTGATCTCTGGGCAAACCTGTAAGTACATGTTGATCCTTTTGTTTTCAGTCTCATCAGCCTTAGTGCCTGTGATCACTTAAAAATATTATTTATTTGGTCCCTGCTGTGAGTAGCAGGCCTTAACAAGCTTATTGGGAATATGCAGAATAGTGGCTGTAGTTCTATCCTGAAGGGATTTTTAGTGTAAATAGATGTTTTGTGTGTGTATTTATCATTACAATGTGATCGTTTGGGGCAGGCTTCTCAAATGCTTCTGCTTAAGTACTTCTAACTACTGTGATAAGTGAGTACAGTATATATCCTAAAGAATACAAGGGCAGCATGCAGAGTGGCAGCTAAAAGCTCAGACAGCTCTTTGAAATGTCCTGTTTTATCTCAAAAATTTATGCATGTTTTGTTCTAATCCATGTTATTTTGATATTTAAAAACAGTCTTCTCTGCTTCCAAGCTTGGTTTTGTGAAAAATGTTGTATTATGTTAATGTAAAATACCCTTACTTGATAGTAACACCGCTTCAGTAAAGAATATCCAGAGATAGATCCCAGATTGTTCTTTAGAAATTTTACCTTCTTTGAAAACGTTTGGATGCTTTTAATTTCAGTGAAAGTCTGTTGTACTGTACAGTACAAAATTTGAGACAGAGCAGACAGTATAGCATTTTAGCTAGCCTGTTGTTTCAGTGAGTACAATATTTATCATGAAGGAGGTCAGGTTTGGGGAGGGGAATTTTGCTGCTCATCTGTAGCTAGTGGTGCGTTGCATGTTCCAAACAGCAGGTATACGGAATGAATGTTCTGTCTCCACATTGTCCTACAACCCGAAGGAGCAGTGTTTAAACACAGAGGTGTGTGATTGGCTCAGAGAAGATCCTCTGACTCTCCTTGTAGTCTCGGTGCTTTAGAAGGACAGTTGGTAAAATTGTAAAAGCTAGTGTTATGCCCATGGATGTTTCAGCGTCTGGCCAAACTGCCTGTGCGCACCAGCTTGAGGTCACCTCCAGCGTGTGACATGAGGATCTCTGCAGCCTCGATCCCCGGAAAAACTGGTGAAAACTATTTAAAAGAAGGCCTTTAAGTCTCTGGAAACGGCCCTGAAAGGGAGGACACACAGCAAATGGAGAAGCTGTATTGAGGAAAATCTACTGAAGCTTGGTAGGAACAGCAAGTCTTTGATATTTGAACCAAGACTCCTGCCTTCTCTCTTCCTGTCTCAGAGGCATGGCAACTCTGGTAAATTAAAGAATGAGCGTTCCTTCTCCCTGCAGCTTCCAGGAGGAGGGCTGTCTTCCTAAGAGAGGCAGAGTATCAGTGTTTCTCCTCCTGCCTCCTAGCCACCTGATGCTAAGGTTATATTCCAGGGGAGTGTGGGTGAGAAGTGAGGCCTTTGTTCTTCCACTCATTCAGCTCCCACTTGTGAGATGGGAGGACTATACTGAGTATGTTATCAGTGAGAATACTGGAGTGTTGATTGTCCTTGCTGCAGCTTAGAGGTAGAGAATTCATACCAAGAGGATCTGTAGCTAATACCCCTCCTTCCACAAGCATGCAGCACCTAACGTGGGTATGTCAGTCAGAAAATAGTGGACCCTGTGATCTCTGTCCCCAGCAACAGAACTTCATCTCTGAATTTTGCCTGAGAGTGGGAGGGGATAGGAGAAAGCCATAGGACAGATAACTCTGAATCTCTCCCAAAGGAACAAACTTCATTTACAACGAAATGTGAAAAAGTTCAAGCCTGAGGGTGCTGTCAAAAGCAGTGGAGTTTGCGGTTAAAAGGCAATAGGTAGGAGAATGATAGATTTATTGGAGGTGTAAACTAATCTGTAGGTGAACTAGTTTAGTGAGAGAATTGGCTGCAAAGAGCCCTGGGGTGAGAACAAATATCAACACTAATCTCAAAAATCCCCCCTTTAAAAAAGCCTGGATTTGATAAGATCATACAGTTTCGTTTACTGAGAGAAAATCAGTCAATAGATCCTGCCAGTATGAGCAATCAGATAGAGGATTTAATAAACAAAGACTTCAAGGTAGTCATTATAAAAATGTTCAGAAAGCTCAAGGAAATCATGTTAATAAAGTGGAGGAAGATGTGATGACAGTGTCACATCAGAGAATATCAGTAGAGAAATAGAAATTATTAAAACAGAAAATAACCAAATGGGAATTCTGAAGTTTAAAAGCTAAACTGAAAATCTTAAGTTTAATTTGAATTGATAGATGAAAGAATTAGCAAACTTGAAGATAAATTGTTAGGTGTTATGCATTCCAAAAAACAACAACAACAAAAAACCATGAAAGAAATGAATAGAGCTTTAGAGAACTTCAGGACATCATTAAGCACACCATCCTACATAGACTATCAAGAGAAGACAGAAAGGAGCAGAAAAAATACTGAAGAAATAATGGTTGAAAAATTTCCAAATTTATTGACTAATACCATTCTATACATTCAGGAAGCTCACCTAATTCCAAATGGAATAAACTTAAAGAGATCCACAGACAGATGCAACTTAGTTGGGGGAAGAAAAAGGTTGAAAGTCAAAGGCAAGGAGAAAATTTTCAAAGCAGCAAGGGGAAAAACAAATCTACTTTCAAAGGAACCCTGGGAAGATTAACAGCTGACTTCTCAGCAAAATCAATGGAAACAAGAAGGCAGTGGGATAACACTGACTGATCAAAGAAAGCACTGTCAACCAAGAATCCTGTAGTCAGCAAAGCTGCCCTTTCAAAAATGAAAGTGAACTCAAGATATTTGCAGATAAAAAATGAGAGAACTTGTTGTTAGCAGACCTGCCTTATAAAAATTACTGAAGGAAGTTCTTCAGAATGAAAGTGAGCTCAGACAGTAACTTGAATCCTTATGAGTAAACAAGGAACAACAAGGTAATTATGTAGAGTTGACCCTTGAACAGCATGGGTTTGAACTCCACAAATAACTGTCCACTTATTTGCAGTGTTTCTTTTCAACAAATCCACACTATATTACTGTACAAACTATGGGTAATTGAACTTGTAGATGTGGAACCATGACTGAACCCTTTCTGACTTTATAGTCAGAAAGCTGACTGTGAGGTTAAACATGGATTTTCAACTGCACGGGGGTCAGCACTCCAAACCTTCATGTTCAAGTGTTAGTTGCCCAATCGTGTCCAGCTTTTACAGCCCCATGGACTGTAGCCCACCAGGCTCGTCTGTCCATGGGATTCTCCAGACAAGAATACTAGAGTGGGTTGTCATTTCCTTTTCCATGGGGTCTTCCTGACCCAGGGATTGAGCACAGGTCTCCAACATTGCAGACAGATTCTTTACCATCTGAGCTACCAGGGAAGGCCCCATGTTGTTCAAGGGTCAGTTGTAGTTGAAAGGCAGCATAAATGTATATTTTCACCTTTTTTCTTTCAACTGATTTTAAAAGTGTATGAAATAATATGTATATAGTTGTCCTATAATGTATAGAAATTTAATATATTTACCAATAACAGTATAAAGGAGATGGTGGGAACAAAGTAATATTAGACTAAGGAAGTGACTTCAGATGATAAACAGGAACAAGTGATGAGAACAATAAATGATAAGTAAGAAGGTAAATTTAACAAAACCCAAAATATATGTGTTCTCCTTTCTTAGCTTCTTTGAAAACATAGGAATTTTACAAGGTAGGAATTACACTGAGTTTTAAAATTTGTAGATGTAATATGTATAACAGTAATAACGACAAAAGAGGGGAAAGTGACTAGAACTGTACATGAACAATGTGTCTATATTTTGCTGGAATTAAGTTCATGTAAATCTGAAGCTCTGAAGAGTTAAAATGTACATGATAAACCCAGAGCAACCACTAAGGAAATAATTCAAAACTAATGGACACTCATTAAAATAACTAATATGCTATGTTTGAAAATATTCACTTAATGCAAAAAGAAGAGAGATTAGATGGACAAAAAAACATAAGACATTTAGAAAGCAAAAGGTAAAATGGCTGATGTAAATCTGACTATATCTATAATAATATTAATTGTGAAAAAGTTGAACAATCCAATCAAAAGAGATTATGAGAATTTTTCTTTTAAAAGCTCTAACCATATCTGCAGGAAATACTTTTGATTCAAAGATTGGAAGTTAAAAGATGAAAAAGGATACATCATGCAAATTGTAACTGCAGAAAGCCAGAGTAGCTGTACTAACATCAGACAGAAAAGACATTAGACAAAAAAAATATTACTAGAAATAAAGAGGGAACATTTTCTAACAATAAAACGGTGAGTCAGAAAGATTTCACCACTATAAATATATGTGTACCTAATAATAGCAAAATACAAGAAGAAAAACCTACGAGACATGAAGGGGGAAATAATTCACAGTAATAGTTGGAGGAACTTTGGTTTCTGCTATAATAATAAAGAGCTTGGAAGTCATCACTCACCCTCACAGGAAAAACTCTGGACAGCCTGAAAAACATTTCTTCTTAGGTGCATCAGAGAATGGAGGTCATAGGGCAAATCACTGCCTTCAAAACTGAGCATACAACAGTTTGTCAAATTCAGCTTAAATATTCCTACCAATACCAGCTACATCAGAAGGCTTCTGCTCCTGGTTAGCTGTGATTCTCTGTATCCACCTTTCTGTTTAGTTTTAACCTGTCTAATAGGTAATTTTTTAAAGAGGTAAAGGATGTACTGAGAGAGGAGAGAAAATGGAATCATACAAAGTGCTCAATTAAAACCTTCAGAGAAGGCAAGAAAAGAGGGAAAGATTTAAAAAAAAAAAAGGACCAGAGCAAAGACTAGAAAAACTATGTGTAGAGTAGATATTAATTCAGCTATTTCAATAATCACTGATATCAATAGTCTAAATAAACCAATTAAGAGACTGACAGTGGATAAAAAACAAGGCTTAACTATGTCAGCTACAAGAAATCGACTTTAAACATAAAGACACAATTAGATTAAAAGTAAAGGGATGGAGAAATATATGTAGTGCTAACAATTCAAAACACAGGTGTAGCTATATTTCACACAGAGCAGACTTCAGGACAAGAAGAGCTATCAGACACAAAGATGGGCATTACATAAAGATGAACTGGGAATAAAGCAGAGAACTGCTTCAATCAGATAACAGACATTTTTGAAAATCCTACAGCTGATACCACACTTAAGATGCTTTCTCCCTAAGATTAGGAGCAAAACCAAAATGTCCATTCTTGCCACTTCCTTTCAATATTGTACTAGAAGTTCTAGTCAGTGGAAGAAAAAGAAACAAAAGCATCTAGGTTGAAAAGAAAGAAAGAAAATTATCCATGTCTGCACATCATATCATTTTGTTGTTGTTCAGTCGCTCAGTAGTATTTGACTCTTTGTGACTGCATGCACTGCAGCACGCCAGGCTTCCCTGTCCTTCACCATCTCCCAGAGCTTTGCTCAAACTCACGTCTGTTGAGTCAGTGATGCCATTCAGTCATCTTATCCTCTGTCATTCCCTGCTCCTCCTGCCCTCAGTCTTTTCCAGCATCAGGGTCTTTGCCAGTGAGTCAGCTCTTCACATCAGGTGGCCAAAGTATTGGAGCTTCAGCATCAGTCCTTCCAATGAAAATTCAGGACTGATTTCCTTTAGGATTGCCTTTTTTATATCCTTGTTGTCCAAGGGACTCTCAAGAGTCTTCTCCAGCAGCACAGTTCGAAAACATCAATTCTTCGGCTCTCAGACTTCTTTATGGTCCAACTCTGACATCCATACATGACTACTGGAAAAACTATAGCTTTGACTATACTATTTGGATATATATGTATATACATATGATATCATATATATATAGAAAATCCTAAGGACCCACTGAAAACTATTAGAACTAATAAGTTCAGCAAGGTTCCCTACCAGAATTCAGCAAGCTTCTCTGTAGCAAAGTTGACAGACTGATTCTACAATTCATGTAATACTACAAGGGAGCTAGAATGGCCAAAAAAATCTTAAAGAAGAACAAAGTTGGAAGATAAACTTTTCAATTTGAAAACTTAGTGCAAAGCAACAGTAATCAAAACAGTGTGGTGGTGGCATGAAGGTAGACATATAGATCAGTGAGATAGAATTGAAAGTCCAGAAATAAACCCATGTATCTATGGTCAACTGACTTTTTCTTTTCTTTAAACAGGGGTGCCAGGATGATTCAATAGTGGGAAAATAGTTTTATCAACAAATTGTGCTAGGTCAAATGGATAGCCAAATTCAAAAGATTGAACTTGCACCTTTATTTAACACTATATGCAAAAATTAACTAAAACAGGATTATAGACCTAAATGTCAGTTAAAACTATAAAACTCTTAAAGCAAGAGTAAATCTTCATGATCTGGGATTTGGCAATGAATTCTTAAACAGGACATCAAAAGCAGAAGCCACAGAACAAGACACATAAATTGGACTTAATCAAAATAAAGGACTTTTGTGTTTCAAAGAGCACTGTCAAAAAAGTATCAATAAAAAGAGAACTCAGAAAATGGGAGAAAGCATTTGCATATTACTGATGTGATAAGGAAGTTGTATCAAGAATATATGAAGAATAAAATTCAGTATTTTTTTTTTAAAAACAGGCAAAGGATTTGAATACAGTTTTCTGCAAAGAATATAAGCAAGTGGCTAAAACACCTGAAAAATTCTCACCGTCATTAGTCATGAGGGGAATGCAACTCAAAACTACAATGAGATACCACTTCACGCTCACTAGGTTGGCTATAACAAATAAGATAATAACAAGAATTGGCAAGAACATGGAGAAATCTGCATCCTCATTTACTGCTTTTGGGAATGTAAAATGGTGTCGCCACTTGGGAAAAGAGTCTAGTAATTCCTCAAATAGTTGAACATAGAGTTACCTTGTGACCTAGCAATGCACCCCTAAGTTTTAATATGTACCCAAGATTAATGAAAACATATGTCCACACAGAAACTTGTACTTTAATATTTGTAGCAGTATTATAATAGCCAGAGGTGAGCTCACCATCAGCTAATGGATGGATTTTTTTTTAATGTGATCTATTCATACAAGAGAATATTATTTGTATATAATATTCAATATATATTCAATATAAGGAGTACTAATAAAAGTACTAATTTATGCTGCAGGAAGTATTGCTATGGTGTGTATTGCTATAGAATGTATTGTAAACATTATTATAAGTGAAAGAAGCCAGTTTAACACAAGACCATATATTATATGGTTCTATTTATATGAAATATCCAGAGTAGTTAAATCTGCAGAGATGGAAAGTAGATTAGTGGTTGCTTAGGGGGTATGAAAGTAGATTACTGGTTGCTCAGGGGGTTCTGGAGGATAGGAGGTAAGAGCTTCAAAGGGAGCAGTGTTTCTTTTCAAGATAAAGAAAATGTCTAAAATTGCAGTGACAGTCGCACAGTTGTGTAATTATCCTAAAAACCGTTGAATTGTTCGTGTTAAATGGGTGAATTATATTGTATATAAATTATATGATAATAAAGCTGTTATTAAAAAAAAAGCTGAAAGATAACCCAGTTTTTAAAAACAATGCCCAGTTCACTTAAAGAAATAAACAAAGAGGATAGATTTTTTTTTTTTTGGAAACCGTGTACACTAATGCTCACTACAGTGTTATCTGTAATAGCCAAACTGGAGGCAACCCAGATATCCATCAACTAATCATCTAATGAACTGATAAACAAGATCAGGTAAATCCATATAATGGAATGGTATTTGACCATGAGAAGGAATGAAGTTCTAACGTGTTCCATAGCATGGGTGAACCTTAAAACATTTTGCTAAGGAAAGGAAGGCAGTTACATAAGACCAAATCTGTATGGTTCCATCTATATGACATTCTCAGAATAGACAATCCATAGAGACAAAAAGTACATCAGTGGTTCCAGGGACTGAGGGAGGAAGAACATGGGCAATGACTGCTAATAGTTACAAGGTTTTGGAGGGAGGTGATGAAAACGTTCTGAAATAAGATAGTGGTGACAGCTTCACAATTCTTCTGAATATACTAAAAGCCAATGAACTGTACACTGTAAAAGGTTAGTTTTTATATGTGAATTATACCTAAATCTGTTATTTTTAAGAAATAGTGCTTACTATTAATACTTTATGAACTGTATGTCTTCATGTTCTGGTACTTTTTCCACAAAAGAACTTGTGGATTTTTTTTTTTTCAAAGAAGCATCTTTAAGAAGAATCATTTATACTGGCTCTAGAATTGCATCTAATATGATAACTTACTTGTTCAGTAAAGACAAGTATTCTCTGTCTTCCTTTTCCACTATCCTCATGCTGTGGAAAACATTATCTGCTACTTAATTAAGTTAGGTTCATGTGTATTCTTGCCATAGTGGACTGCAGTTTCTGAAAATGTTTTTATTCTTTAGAGAAGATAATTTTTCTCCCCAGCTACTTAATATGCCAAAAAAGCATAAAAAATGTATTAGCACTTGGAACATGGTGAATTTTGGTTCTTTTTTTTTTTTTTTTTTACATTTTTTATGTGGAAGTACACAGCTGTAAAGGATTTGGTTAAATACTGAAAGAACATAAATGATCTCTTTGTAACTTTGCTGTCTTTAAAAAGGAAATTAGCATCAATACTTGATTTTATANGTGTTCATTGAAAGGACTGATGTTGAAGCTGAAACTCCAATAGTTTGGCCACCTGATGCGAAGAGCTGACTCATTTGAAAAGACCCTGATGCTGGGGAAGATTGATGGCAGGAGGAGAAGGGGACAACAAAGGATGAGATGGTTGGATGGCATCACCGACTCAATGGACATGGGTTTGGGTGGACTCTGGGAGTTGGTGATGGACAGGGAGGCCTGGCGTGCTGCGGTTCATGGGGTCGCAAAGAGTCGGACACAACTGAGCGACTCAACTGAACATATGTATTTGTGAATGGAAGGAATATGAATTTAAAAAATCAGTCTGTAAGTCAGCTGAATTATTAAAGGTTATCTGTTGTCAGTGTGTAGCAGTGTTTGCAGTATTAGGATGGTAGAACATTTTTGAATATGGACTCTTTTCTGACAAAAAATGCATATCTTCACATATATTTTTTCAGTTATGATATTTTTTCAGTCATATGTGAAAAATAGACTCAAGTATTTTATATTTTCTTAAAATGGAAGATAGGGAGACTTTAGAACAAAACAAAAAGCTCATAACTATTTCACTTTGAAAAATAACAAAAAAGCATGTACATACTTTAAGAAAACAACATGTTTTTCTAAATCTAGAAATGAGGATCCAGATGGTGAATTCAGGCACAATGTGTAATGCTGTAATTTTCCCTCCTAGTTAAAAGGCTGGCCACCGAGAACCTGCAATGCATGGTCAAAGCCTGCCAAGTGGGGTCAGGAGGAGAACCTGCCGCCCAGCTGACTTCTGTGTTTAGGTAACTGGAAAATATGCCAACTGGCAAGGAGACTATTGCCAGCCATTTGACAGCCAACATGTTTTTTAAATAACTAATTATCCAAAACATAATGTGTTACTACTTGTTTGTAGTTCCAATTATTATGTTTTTGGCAGTAGTTTTGCTACGTTGTTGTTTTATTAAAAAATGAAATTACTAGGGAGAAAGAGGACTTAAAATTACCTGAGAATTTAGTAAGGAAGATGCCTGCATGTGTTTCAGAGGGAAAAGTGGAAAACGTGAGGCATGATTAACAGGTAAACAGGCTTCGGAGCTGCTAAACATGCTACTCAGCATCTGGTGTGGACGTGCCTGTCACTGTCTTCCTGTTCACTTTCGATGCCGTGAACCCACAAAGCTCCATTGGATGTAATTTGTGAAGCACAGATTTTATATATAGATGTTGTTCCTTCATCAGATAACTGCAACTTGTAGAACATTTTCTCTTTTGTTTCTATTTTCCTGCCTTGCACCATATAGAATCTTAGGCTTTCTGTTAAGGCAGTACTTTTAAAGTATATCTTTCTCCTAGTTTCTACCCATTGACCTTCGTTTCATGTATCTCTACCACAGCACCTCTGTTGAATAGTTTGGGTCCATTTCCTTCATTCTGTGGTGGATTTTTGATTCCTTGGCTTGCTTTCTTTATCACGTAGTTGCGACTTGTCAGTTGTTTACAGTTTATTTGTAGAATAAAAAAATTGTGATCATTTGAAATAAATACTGGGTTTAAGAAAACTGTAAAACCCTAAGAGATGAGGAAGGATTTTATATCAACAAAGATTACATGTTTATTAACTACAGTTTACTAAGAGAGGCGACTTTTGGCTGGGTAGGAAGAGTGGAAATTTTATGGTTAAAATATATAATTTTTTTATATAAAGAATTGTATATTATTTATATGTAATGTATAATTATATAAATATAATTCTTTATAAATTATGTATTCTTCATATTCTTCTGTAGGTCTAAAGTCTCTTGTTCAATTAAGGAATATAAAAATTATTAGAAGTAACTTGCTTTTCCTCATAGAAATAGTTTGATTTATCTAGAGATAGGAAAAATTAACTAAAAGATACACAAAATAACCAGGAAGCTGGACCAGTGTTCTGTTTTAGTCTGTGCTACACCCTTACCACCCAGATTAACCACATGCAGAGTGTAGCCGGAAATTCCCTGGTGTTAGATTTTTTCCCTCTTAATTCTTCCTCTTGGGATTCCAACTCTTCCCTCTCCCTCTTGATGCCGTCACTCTGGTTATGGCTCACGCTGAAGCCATTTCTTTTCTTTATTTTCAAGTTTCAGTCTTTGTATGGTGTCTGTCATAGATCCTTAGGATAATCTTACATAAAGTGATTTTTCTTGCATTCAGGTTACAGCTCGTTGCTGTAATTGGGCTAGATAGATACTAGCCAGAGCAATTGCCCCAAGAGTAATTCTAAGTAACCTGTTTTACTTTCAGGCAGTTTATTGAAGATTATGGTATGAGATATGATTATCAGATATACAGCATTTTAGAAGCAGTAGCAGCATTGGACCCGCAGGTTGTTATCCACTTGGTTCCTGCCCTTACTCAGTCTCTGAAGAATTCAGAGCAGAAATGGGGCCTTGGCAGAAATACTGCACAAAGGTATGTTTGATAATTTGATTATATCCTTTTGGACAATGATTATAAAATCTAGTTTCATTTTCTAGTAATGGCCTATTTTCCCATTTATAAAGATTTGGAGTCTATTCTGGTGAATAGGGTTAGTGACTCAACTAGATAATATGCTTTTGGTCAAAAATAGATAAAAGCTCTTTTTTTTCCCTATAGGCTTATGACTGAATATAGTGCTGGACCATTTAGAGTAATGAAACATGGTGGGATAAGTCTGTATCTCCTAAAGAGATTGTTTTAAAAGAGAAAAGACCCTGATGCTGGAAAGACTGAGGGCAGGAGAAGGGGGCAACAGAGGATGAGATGGTTAGATGGCATCACCGACTTTAATAGACATGAGTTTGTGCCAACTCTGGGAGATAGTGAAGGACAGGGAAGCCTGGAATGCTGCAGTCCATGACTTCACAGAGTCAGACACGATTTAGCGACTGCACAACAGCAATAAGCATATATCTCTCTCTTCTTTTCTTTCGTCTTTACAGGGAAGCCTATAGCAAGCTTTTATCTCAGCTAGGACAAGTGGGACAAGATGAGATACAGAACCTTCAAAATGATCATGTCGAATCGAGTTTGTGATTTCATCCTCAACATTAATTATAACTACCTAAAGCCACTTTGTGCCATTTGACTCCTACTTTTATTAATTGTATAATGTTCTGTTAAAATACTTTATAGGATCTTTTCCGTACATACCTGTAAGTATAAAGTATATAAATAAGGAAATAAAAGTTAAATGTTACAGAATCTTTGGAACTTGGTAAAACTGCATTCTGTTTTGAAGCAGTTTTAGTAACCTACAGAAACTTAAAGTTTTCCTATCTGGGAGTGTTGTCTATGCAGGTTTGTACTGATTGATCCATGGGCATTTTACTGTAGTGTTGACTTTTTGCCTTGTAAGTAATTTATTTCTATTTTTTGTTTCTTTACAAGTTATGTTTAATCATGACACTATTTCACATTACCTGGCTGCCCTATGCTGGTTTTGTTACTTGGTTGCTTTCTTGTTTGCTTGTTTTTATTTTTTTGTTTCTTTTGAGGAATGGTCAGGAGATAGGACTGTATATTTGTTATCCTTTTTTACACTGTGTTTGAGGCAAGTTAATAAAATTCTTTCAGAGCACACTTAACTCTGAGCAATGAAACTGAATCTGGCTAAGGGATTATACAGATATATATATATATATAAATATTTTTTTGACTTGGGCTAACAGTGTTTATACTTTGGGTCCAACAGTTGCCAGATGTTTTTCTCTATTCATCCTTTCTTTTGGAGTTGTCATATCAAGAGGAGGATAAATAAGAGCCATTAAAAAGAGAATAAATAATATTCTGGAAATTTTCTAAGGTTACAAATTAACAGAAGAGTTCTGAAAAGTCAGCCGAATTATCTACTTGCTCCTCAACTAGAGCCTCTTATAAACTAGCATCTTACATATTTGCAGGGAACCAGCTTAGTTTCCTGTAGCAATTCATCTCTCAACCCTTTAACTATCTGAAATTTCAGATTTATTTTACTGGTTGGGCTTTGTCCTTGACTCCTTTTTCTAGTGAGCATTATTGGGTAAAAACAGTTCCAATCTTAGTGCTGAGAACCCATGGGGGTCTTAAACCCAGCTCTACTTTGTGACCGTGAGCAGATTCTTAATCTTTTCTTAGTTTCTTCATGAAGAAAAATGAGTAATAATACTTCTTGAAATTTCACAATGTTCTGGTAAGAATCAGTGGGATAACTGATTTATAATCATATAATTAAAATGTATGTGAAAGTATTTGGTGACCTACATTCTGTTAGGCATACAGACATGATTACTGTATCTCATGCACAAAAGTAAGAAACTTCTCAATTTTGTTCTTCTCTAATGGTATGTCCTAGATGAATGATTGTACTTCTTTTCAGTGTTTTCCTACATGTCATGTTTGCTAACTTTGAAATAATTTGTTTTCTTCTGGGGCCTCTAGTGTTTATCATGGTTTTACTATTTCAGGAAAACATTTTCAGCCCTTTTCTGGCTCAAGTATCTTTTAAAATGAAATGCACTGCAGTCAGGAAACTATAGTTAGTTAGTAGCCCTTTCCTAACAGGAATTTGTGAAGTCTAAAGGACTTCATGACTTATAAATGGTCTATTTTACCTCTAAATAAACTAATTCAATAAATGGGATGAATAAAAGCCTCTTTAAGGTTACTGAAGACGTCACAGCAATGAATTTCTTTTCATTATAATAGTGACTTACTAATGATGTATTATTTTGCAAGTTTTAGCAGTTGAAATTTAAAATATTTAATGGAGTGCCTTTAAAGGGTTATTTATGTGTGTGTGTGTATTCCTCCCTAAGGGAAATTGATAAAGATGTCTTAGAACATCTTGCTCTTAGCTTATGAAACTTTTTAAGGGTTAAGAAAATCTGTTACTGAATCATGCATTAGGATATGTACCTGTGTATATTAATAAATTTATACTTAAAACTCAGTAACAAGAAAGTTTGTAACATATATATGTAGATATTTTTTAATTTGTGTATCAGTAAAATTTTAAAGAAACTGTTTTATTCATTGAAGATAAAAGAAAATTTATGATTCAGTTCCATTTCTTAAAAATCTTCACTGACCCTTATTACTATAGTCTTATCTCTTTCCATTCCCAGACTTAGAATAACCTTATAGTTGCTTCCTTAATGTTCTTTTCCCCCTAAAATCCCTGTAATATCTGAGGTGACTGCTTCTACCATGGTTAAGGTAAGCCAGTCTCTTGTGTTCGAATCTGGAATGTTCTCATTTTCCTTGGGCTTTGGCGCCCCTGTGACTGCATTCTCTTCTATCTTCTCATCCCTTCCTCAGCGATACTGCTTCTTCCTACATACACAGTTTCCCTTCTTGTCCCCACTGGTAAGATCTGGCCCTTTACCCGCTCTGTCTCAATATTCTTCTAGTAGTGAACTGAGAAGACTAGCTAATAACTTTATCTTTCACATCTGTATCTAGTACTACTTTTTCTCTAAACCTATCTAGTTAGATTCTCCTGGAATCTCAGGGCAACATCAAGCTGCCTTTGTCACCTTCTTTTCCAGAGAAGGTGACAGTCTTTGCCTTCATTTTCTACCCAGAGCATACACCACTTTCCCAGTTCACTTAACCTTGATGTTTCTTGGATTCTTCATTGTTCCCCACTTTTCATCTGATCAGCAGTACAAGCTCTTGCTTTTTTTTTCTTTTTGCCATCATGTGCATCCAAATTTATTAGGCACTATAATCACCTCCTTAATCTCCGGATTACTGAAATTGATTCCTCACATAATTCTGACGTTAATGTTCCTAGAAGATTACTTTCATCTTGTTCCTTTTCTGCTCAAGGACCTCCATTTACTTCCCATTCTTAATCTGACATTGAAGCCCTTCTGTCAGGAGAATTTCTGCCACCTGACACTATACTTTGTCTTTCCAAACTCGACTCGAGCAGGAGTAGACTGTCTTGGCTACTTTTGCTGAATGACATGTGCATTCCACACTGTGGGCTTCATTTAGTTTGCCAGCTTACCACCATTTCTACAGAAACCTAACTTTAAGATACTCAATTAGGAAAATTAAAATATACATGTTAGGCTTCCTTGGTAGTTCAGATGTTAAAGAACCTGCCTGCAATGCAGGAGACCTGGATTCTATCTGTGGGGCAGGAAGATTCCTTGGAGAAGGGAAATGGCTACCCACTCCAGTAGTCTTACCTGGAGAATTCCATGGACAAATGAGCCTGGCGGGCTACAGCCCACGGGGTTGCAAAGAGTCAGACACTTGTTCAGTTGCTCAGTCATGTCTGACTCTGCGGCCCCATGGACTGCAGCAGGCCAGGCTTCCCTGTCCTTCCCAGAGTGGGCTCAAATTCAGGTCCATCGAGTCGGTGATGCCAGCCAGCTATCTCATCCTCTGTCGTCCCCTTCTCCTCCTGTCCTCACTCTTTCCCAGCATCAGGGTCTTTTCCAACGAGTCAGCTCTTCACACTGAGTCGAGTCAGACACTCCTCAGTGACTGACACTTTCACTTTCTATACATTAAGTATCCCAGTCAGTTTCTTTAAAATATCAGGTGGAGTGTAAAAGATGATTGAAGGACAACACGGTGATCAAAAGGACTTTTATTAGACACTCAGATTTGGTTATGATTTAAATTTCAATTGAACATTTAATTAGGTTTTCATAGGGGAGAAGACAACATGGGTGTATTGTCCCTGTACAAAATCATTCAGTATTCAGTGCATTTGTACTGGAAGAGTTTCACAGTATAAACTTTTACATCTTTCCTTACCCCTAGCATATTATATTTTCTTACTAAGCATATTTGACTTTTTTGTTTTTTCGGGTAAGTAAAAAAAATTATTTGTGGGTTGTTAGGTGTGTATCTTCACTACACATTGTTATTTTTATCTTCCGCACTTCATCACAAATCTTTAAAACTACTGTTTATAACTAATTACATGGACTCCTTTCCATGTACATTCACAGAATCTTGGCAGTTTTTATTTTTAGGATTATATAATCATATAAGAACTTGACAAGCTGTTACAGTTGGGAAAAACCTTTAAGAAAACTACTTTCTCTAAGTTCTGCGCATCAACTTAACACTTTTTTTCAGAGATAAAAGGCAGATATCATAGAAACTTCACCAAAAACTGTGTTATCTGTTCTAAACCACTGGGTTTTGATTCATACTTTTTTTTACATAAACCTTATATCTTCCAAAAGCTGATCTCCTGCCTCCTCCTCCTAGGGTTAAAAATATTGCGTTGTCAGTCAAGTGGAGAGTATGCTACTATAAATAATAGGCTCTGTTTGTGTAAAACAGTTGGGGAACTAGCAAAATAGTATATTCTTTCACATATTTGATGTAAGATATGAGATTTATATTTTGATTCTGTGATAAACTATATTGTTCAGTTTACCAAAATCAGTATCAAATGATTAGAACAGACCAACTTCTGCTTATTGAAGTTTTTGGTGTGAAGATAGTTACCCAGTTCATTGCACTTGTGAATTATGCTTTTAGAAAAATTCTGAGCATTTCTATTTTATACACACATTTTAAATTATTTGTGTACAAAGTAATGAGATATAATAAAAATGCATATATTCAGCTTGCACTGCACTTGTGATTATTCAACTTCCTCTTTATGACAGATTGACTCTTTGAAAAGCTAAATAAAAACGAACCATGTTACCTAGAGGAATATTTTTTATCTTATTTACTCCTGTTGCTTTTATACTCTGCCTGAACAAAAGAAAGGTAAGTTTTCAGCTATTTTAATGGCTGAGGGTATACAACATACATATGGCTACACTGTGAGGAAAATACAGAGAGAAATGGTGTGGAAAATACCCTAAAAATAACAAATTGGCATTTTGCTCTTAAAGATCTAAGGAATTTTACTGTGTTTTACATACCTATTATTTTAGAGATTCATGTCTTTTCTGACTTTTCCTCCTAGAGTAAGAACACTGCTAATATCTGTTACTGCTTTTTCTTTTTTAAAGTACAATCTTGAAGTAATATTTAAATTGTTTTAAGTTTCATGGTTTTATGGAAATTGAAATTAACATACAAATACAATATGGTCTTTGAAGAGTGCAAATGGAAGATGTATTACTGTGGAATAGTTCACTATAGTAGAAAACATGTATTTGAATAGTTTCGGTGGACTTTGGTTTTTATGACCAACCATTGTTCTCGAGTTTTTCTTATTAGCTCTTATGATTGGTAATTTGAGGGACAGGATCAGATTCTAAGTGATCTGGATATTTTCTTTGTTGGGAAGGGTTTGCTGTACTTAGGATGCTATTCTTGGTTTACAGTTATAAGTTTCTGGAAATTATGTATAATTTATATAAAAATTCTGACTTCAATTTTATAGTATTATTACTGTTATACAATTATAACTGAGTAATACTATACAAGGAAAGGTCTGATAGTATATACTGATTTGTTCTAAATAGTTAGAAGTTTTCACAAATTAGAATAATCTCAGGCTGCCTTTCCATTTATCAGTCAAGTTCACTTCAAGACCATTTCCCTTTTAATAATTGGGAATAGAATCTGAGATTAAAAATAGATTGTTTTATAAAGTAAAATTCCTGAAGAAATCTGTGTGTCAAGTAGAAATTTTAGTAAATCTGAAATAATTGTTTAGGTCCTTGTTGGAAAGATTTCTGAAATGTTGGAATCCACTCTCCTCACACTATAAGTTTTTATATAAATTTTATATAAATTTTTAAAAATTTAGATGGTTTATACCTTACAAAGAGACTCTGTTTTCCTTCTAAATATCAACTATCAATTTTCAGAACTATACAAATACTCCTCTACGGTTTTTTGACTAAACTTAAAATCTTTTCTTTTAAAATTTTACCACTTTTTCTTACCCTAGTCTCCCCTCCCCCCTTAATCTGAACAGCCAAAAATTATATATTTATTTTTAATATATTGATATTTAATACATATTTAAAATAAGTGTTTTAGGTATTATATAATATATAAAGTTAGTGATTTCAATATTTTTATCCACTTCTGCTTACTAAAAGTGGCTACATGAACAAAATGACAGTTTCCTATAAGCCAAGGATTGCTGAATGCTTAAACTATACCAAGGAAAAAAAAGTGAAATCTTCCTTTTAAGAAAGGTGACTTATAAAACAAGATTAGAAAAAGGGGGAGAACTCACATTATAGTTATGGAATTTACGTTCAAATAAGATTATTGAGTTGTTTAATTTTTTAACTTTTTGTTACAGACAAAGCAAATCCAAAAACTTAGCAGAAAAAATTCTTTATGCATTATTAAAAATGGTAGTAATATGTATTGGTGATGGAGAAGAATCCCACAAGTGCTGAAGATTGACATAACCTTTAACAAAGTGGAAAAACTTTTATTAGAACTACCAATTCTAGGTTCAAATTTATGTCAAAGCACTTTATGATACCAAAGTTAGTCCAACTAATTTTTTTTCGAGCTTTAAAATATCACTTTTCACTAAACAAATGAATTTGAGGCAAGGGTTTGTACAACTGTAGGAATCTTTGGCTTTGGCAAACTCCCTGTTTTCTAATTAGTATGTCTCTTTCACACGCTTTTCAGAATCATCTCATAGCATGTCTTCCAAGTTCTATCCAGTAATTTTTAAACTTCAAAAATAATCTCCCGGTTCAATTACAAAGTTCTAAAGACAGTAAAATACCTTGTTATTTGAGTGATATTTTTTCTTAGGCAAAATACTTCAGAGTATTTGTCTAATCCTCACAACATTCTTCTGAATTGATACGTAAATCAATAATTGTCCTCCTTAAAAAGTGAGAAAACTGAAGCACTGTAAAGTTAAGCCAAGGTCACAGAGCAACTAAGGTGAAAAATCTGGGTCCTGCATCTGCTGTTCCAGTGTACTTCGGTTATTCATATTACCTTGAATAAAATATGGCATTTAAAAATTTATGATGTCATAATGGCGAGGACTCTGCTTCTACAGCAGTATTGTATAATGTTGGATTTTCAACAGAAAAATTGCAAACCCAGGGTTCAATAAAGAGATTAAGTACCAACAATGTTTTTGAAGATCACTGATGGCAGTACTTGTGAACTAAACTGCCTCACTAAGAGTGTAGTGTCCTGGACAGCACTCATTAGACAAGGTGTATAAAGAATGCTTTAAAGACCCATAGACCATTCAGCCGGCTCTAAGCTAACACCACAGTAAAAGTCACACATACTATATATTGACACACGCAGAGAAGAGTGACAGGCGTTTTCAGTAATGTGTGTTTTAGAAAACTTCATTTTTTGCTTATGTTTATCTGAATATAATAAGATCTAGAAAACAGAGCAAGGAAGCATTGAGCACTGAGTGTTTTCATGCCCAGTATCCAAAAGTCAGGCTTTTTTTCCTCCTGTTCATGACGGTTATTAAAGCAGCACTGGCTTTTCAGACGGTGCCAATCCTGTGATGAGGCACCTGAAGAGTCTGAAGGTCAGGGCATGTGAAATGTGGAGCGGGGAGGAAGCATGCTGCTATTCCACTGGAAGCAAAAGGGAGTCTGGGCCCGTAGAAAACTTCTTCTTTGCCTTCTCTACTTACATCGAGTACCTACAAAGGAAGGGAGAAATCTGTATGTTAAAGGTGGTGGTTCAAAGTAAAGCTGTGTCCACATGAAAGAAAACCTGCAGTTAATTTCAGTTATGCTGACATGACTATATCTTACATATTGCTATTTTTCTCACAGTGTTGTACCAGAAATATGTATTTAGTTCCTGTAAAATGCTATTCTACACATTTATGTGTATGTACATATACTTATAATAATTTAGCCTTCAGAACAAGTGTTGAGATGTAGGCAGCATTATTGTCCTTTAATAAAACTGCCTTAGATTGGTTAAGTAACTTGCCCAAACTAGTAAGCGTTGTTTGTATGCTGGCTTGCAAATCCTCATCTGCAGTGTGAAAACAACATTGACTTTGCAGCTTTGCTTTGAAAACTGGTGAGATCATCTCTCTCAGGGTCTGGCACAGAGAATATTATAGCTTCGTAGCAGGTTCAAGAAAATCAGTTGCTTCTGGAGATTTTTCCCCAGTTATTTCCTTGTTAAGCTGGAGTTTCATCTCTTTCCTTATATGGAAAAGAATCTTTGTTAGTCAGTGCCTGCTGTCACCTCACTGATTTCTGGTTTAATTTTACTACTAGGAAGATTCTTTTATAAGACAAGCTGGTCATGTCATATTTGTTGAACCCATAAAACTCAGCCCTCAATCATCTTATCCTCTCTTCATATGAGCTTCCTCTAACTTCATTTAAAACTTTTCCTCCCTTGGGTTCTATGACCTTGAAAAAAAGAAGTTTGTCATTCATATTGTCCTGTTGCCAGCCACTTTGGTCCACTTCTTCCAGCCACTTCCTAAATGCAGACGTGCCCCAATATTCCAACCACAGACCCTGTGGCACTCTCAAGTGGTCTTGTCCACTCTGATGCCCACATCTGTCACCTACGTGGGTAATTCTTAAGCTTTTAATGCAATAATGCATTATTTTAGATGAAAGGGGCCCTTGAGATTTGGGGGTCCAAGTCCATAAAGAAGGACATCAGTAAGGCCGAGAATAAAAGATCAAACCTGTAGCTTTTTTCCCCCAAATGGACATTTAGCTGTCCCATCCCATTTACTGAACAATATGCCCTGTCACTACTAATTTTAAATAGCGCAGTACATGCTACATACAGATTTTTCTTTGTTCTCTCATTGATTTATGCATCTTCCTACAGTAGCACATTTACAGTTATTTTGACTGGGTAAGAGCATGTCTCTCTCATTCATTTTCAAGCATTTCTTGGTTATTCTTATATTCTTTCCTGGAGAAACTTAAAGTTTGACAAGTATTATTCCCCCACCCTGTGAATCTGACTAGCTGTGTGACTTACTCAAGGTCACAGAGTTAGTAAGTGGTAGAGCCAGTTTTTTGTCTCAGGATTGCAACCCAAGAAAGAATAAGGATTTCATGCCATTTTGTGACATCCCCTCCCCGACTGAATACATTTTTAGAACACGAAAGTTGAAGTCACCATCCAGAGAACTTTTGTCTGGTTTCTTGGACCGAGAGAGACTGCATATGGTAAGTGCTTATGTGCCTGCTCAGGCAAGTCCAAGGCTGCAACCCCACGGACTGTAACCCCACCGGGCTCCTCTGTCCATGGCAGTCTCCAGGCAAGAATACTGGAGCGGGCTGCCGTGTCCTCCTCCAGGGGATCTTCCCGACTCAGGAATTAAACCCATGTCTCTTGCGTCCCCTGTATTGGCAAGCAGATTCTTTACCACTATGCCACCTGGGAAGCCACTAAGCAGATGTAATTTATTTAATCTCTCAGACGGAGGAAACAAAAGGGTGGGTGGTTTTTCTCCAATACACTCCTGTGAAAGCTGGCAGACAGAAGGCACTGGGCAGAAGGAGGTGCCGACTTGGCAGGATATCCCCCAGCCGAGAAGTCATCCTAGGTGAAGAGCGGCGGAGGGGATCCGACAGCACGGACTGGCACCTAGGCAGCTGCTCCTTGATGCTTGTCATCCCCGGGATACCAGGCTAGAGTCAAGCTCTGCGCCAGCTGCTTGCTTACACACCCACTGAGCAAAGGAGAGCACCTGACTCCTCAGGACTTAACATCTTCCTCGGGTGAGCATTACTAACAAGTCCAAAGCTTAATCTTCAAAGTATTAATTTAAGAGCATCTCAGCTTTTCTGTTGTTTCAGTTGTACTCATGATGGGTTAAACAGATTGTGGTCAGTCACACAGCAGAAAAGAAGAGAAAAAAGCATGGTTTCTCAACATTTGACATGCTTCATCCCTGTGTGGCTGAATCCTATGAAAGACAGTTAAGTAAACTTTAATGATGAGCCCAGAAGGGTCAGTCTAATAGACAGGTTATTAGCTGGTATTTTCAACATGGGGAAAAAAAAAAGACTAGTCCTTCTGGATGTTAACAGACCAGTCTGAACTATTTAAGTGTGATTTTCACTAATCTTAGCCAGTCATGCCTTTAGAATCCAAGAATTCTACATATTTGTGACTTATAAAAAAAACTTAAAACTTTTGATATTTTTAACATCTATACTATTTTCTCCACTCTTTCCTATACTTTTTTCTTTTTCTTTTTTTCCTATACTTTTTTCCTTCACAGATCATATCTCAATTTATTCAGTGTTTTGGAGCTTAAATTTTTTTTTTGTTTTTTTGGTTGTTGTTAATTTTTATCTTATACTAGAATATAGTTGGTTAACAATGTTGATAGTTTTAGGTATATGACAAAGTGATTCAATTATACATGTATCTATCCTTTTTGAAATTCTTTTCCCATTTTAGGCTGTTACAGAGTATTGAGCCATGTGCCCCGTGATATACAGTAGCTCCATGTTGGTTATGTTTTAAATACAGTAGCATGTACATGCCAATCTCAAACTCCCTCCCCTTCAACTCTGCCCCCGTGGTTATCATACGTTTGTTCTCTAAGTCTGTGGGTCTGTTTCTGTTTTGTAAATAAGTTCATTTGTATCATTTTTTTAGATTTTGCATAAAAATAGAATCATATGATAATTTGACTTTCTCCAACATTACTTAGCATGATAATCTCCAG